TTATCCCGCGAAGTGCATCAAATCACGTGAGCACCTTGATTAAAAGCATGAAAGAATTGGCAAAATATGTCGACTCCCAGTTGGCGGCACACATGCTTTGCAAATCCTGCAGTCGACTGAAATCTGCACGTTAAAATCCATGTTGTTTATGAACCGCTCGTTACGCAATTTTGATTGGACTATGCATAGACTCGTTAGTCGTTATGTAACTCCATAATTGCAGCCTATTTCGGCAAGAGGGAAACTGCACTTTTATAGTCAGTTAACTCCCTTGCCTTGGGAAGGAACACTGACCAGATTAAAATCTTTGGGGCTTGAAACGAACCTTTGTTGTCAGAATGAATACTTTATTTGCCAAAGTACATAAACTGAGTCAGGGTTCTCTAAATTGTCAAACAGTGGCTTTGGAGGTGATACAATTATGCAGTCACACATTGGGCTTTTTCACATGGTGGCCCGTTAAACTATTCGATGCATGATAAAACTACCCAAATAAAAAACGAAGGATGTATTTGTTTTTGATAAACACTTCAGTTAACACGTCAGTTTTATTTGTGGTAAGATAATTGTTGCAGATTAATTTAGTTTGATCTTTGCACTTAACAATCATCGAAGTAATGATGTTGGGTACAATAGTGCATGGAAGCATAGGTCAAACATGTGTTAATGTGATTGCTATTTTCAGGTTATCAACCACCTATATAACAAGAAAATCATAACAATATTGTATACAGCGTTTAAAATGGTAATGTGAGATACTATTAAGATGGTCATTAACCTTGTCTTGTAAGCTATTATTGCAAAAGCTTTTGTTTTATCAACATTTGAAGGCAGTTGGTTCTCTCCCACTCGATCTCTGACATTGTCACATGTGGTTTTAAGATGTGCCCTCCTTAGTCATTTTCTAAGCACCAGGGTGATTGATACAGCAAATACAGGAGTCTTATTTGTACATTCATTATTTAGTTTTAAAAATCACTAAAACAGAGGGAAATCTTCTAAATAAACTACCTAATACCAAAACAGAAACTAGAATAGCACATTTGCATTACCATATTCGACGTAATAGCGCCCCGCTCTAATACCACGGTGATATTTGCTAATATATTGGCTAGTGAACAATCCCAATTAGCACCTCTTCTGATTGATCAATGTACACAAGACTTATTTATTTGTGTATAATACACACTCATGTGTTATATGCACCCTTAATTATGGGCAATTAAAGTCTGGAAAAATATATCTGTTGTGTATAATACACACAGACTTTTCTTTTGTATCATTTCAGGTACACAAACGTAGAAATTTCTGATCTTTCAACTCTATTTTCTTTTCATCAGATTTATATTCTACTATGAGCCCCCTATTCCTAATTTTGAGAGCGCCCTGGGCGCTTATTACGCCGAATACGGTATTATGATTAATATATCATGTTTTATTAGAATAATATGTCATGTCTTCTGGTCTCCTTCCCTCTTGTGTTTAAGAAGGTTAGGTTAAAATACATTAGCGAAATGCTTTCACAACACAATGATATGTCATCGACCCATTTTGGGATCATGAAACAAATTTTGATGAAATTCTAACTTACTGCCTGCTTCTCCTGGCTGCATTGTCAGTGACCTGCTACCAGCTGTCTGTCCATGCTCACCCAACAAAAAGCCACTTGGGATCATCGCTAAAAACTGTGGCAAATAGTAAGATGAGTGTTGTCTCCCAGCAAGAGCATGCACAAATTCCTTTGTGTGTCCTTTCTATTTGAAAAAGCAGTTATAGTCATGATAGTCTGTGTTTTAGAGAATGCAAATATGGTCTGTGCGTTAGACAATGCTAATATAGTCTGTGTTAGAGAATGCAAATATTGTCTGTGTGTTAGAGAATGCGAATATTGTCTGTGTGTTAGAGAATGCAAATATTATCTGTGTGTGAAGAGAAGGCAAATATTGTCTCATCTTCCCTAGGCAAGGGAGTTGACTGACTGAAAAAGTCCAGTTTCCACCCTTGCCGAACTAGGCTGGAATTTCTGGGGTCGATCGTAGCATCACCAGTGGCTATTACGAGTTATGTCCTTTCTATGCCCCTCCTATTGACCAATCAGATTCCACCTCTTATATCACTTGCATTTGCCTCAAACAAAATGGTGGCGCCTAGTCAAGACGATCTGATCAATAATCAAAATCTATATTGTAACAAAACAGGTCTTACTTGCAAAATGCATCAAATCACGTGAGCACTTTAATTAAAAACAGGAAAATATTTGGAAAATATATGTTGAAGCCGAGTTTGCGGTATACATGCTTTTCAAATCCTGCAATTGGCCGATATCTGCACAGTAGTTTACAGATCGGATTTTGATTTCATTACGCGATTTTAATTGGATTATGCATAGACTCACTTGTTGGTCCAGCCAAAATATATCTCCATAATTCCTGCCTTGTTCGGCAAGGGTGGAAATTGGACTTTTATGGTCAGTTAACTCCCTTGCCCCGGGAAGATGATATTGTCTGTGTGTTAGAGAATTCAAATATAGTCTGTGTGTTAGATGTACATGGGTAGAGATTGTGTTTAGCAGAAAGCATGTGTATGTTTATGTGTTTGTAACACAAACCTTACTTTTCAGTCACTGCTTGCAAACAGTCTTGTGTGTCTGTGTCTTCTGTGTTATCATGTTATCTTTGTTGTGTCCTCCAGCTGACCCATACACGGTTAAGAGAAGCAAATGTTTAAAACATTTATTTTTTGTATTGTTCAACCCTGATTAACATGACTAATGAATAGACATAGTTGTGTTGCCTTGTTGTTCTATACCACTCAATTTTTTTTTTAAAAACACGTAATTATTTTCATATGACTCTAGTTAATCTGTCATGGCTGGTGGGTATTGCAACACACAACCTACCCATTGTGGGTGTTCTTTAACTTGTTTTGAGTAGTATATATGTTGTACGTACATTCTATTTAGAATTTCTTTTAGTTTTTTTTGTAGTTTTTTTTTTCCACATATACTACCATTTGCAGTCATATGCTTGTTCAGATGATGTCTGTTGTCAAAACCATAAGCCTGTGGACATTCAGGGTTAGTGTATATCATCATTGATGTATTCTTGTGACGATTGATGCTCAGGAGGTTACAGTGAGTGACTGGCTGATTGTGTGTCATAGTACCCCAGCTGCATTGATCATGTGACCCGTGAAGGTCCGGGGTAGAATATATCTTCAGCAACCCATGCTTGCCTTAAAAGGTGACTAAGCTTGTCCTAAGAGTTGACTTACGGGATCGGGTGGTCAGGCTCGCTGACTTGGTTGATGCATGTCATCAATCCCAATTGCGTGGGTCGATGCTCATGATGTCAATCACTGGATTGTCTGGTCCAGACTCGATTAATTACAGACCGCCATCATATAGCTGGAATATTGCTGAGAACGGTGTTAAACAACAAACAAACAAAAAACATTGATCCTGCAATCAGCCACTGTTTTGCCTGGCCTGGAATTGATTATCTGCAGGCTGTTGTGATATATCTGAAATATTGCTGACACCGTCATGATTCACCATGTCAACAAGTGGTTTTCAAGTACAGGGGAACCATCTTCACCAGAGGATATACATGGTTAAGCTTTAGATACTTTTTGAAAACATGTAACAAATTGTAGGTTGTTGTGAAGCGCATGATACCTTCACATGCAATGATGCACAACTGGATAACCAAAATCAAGTTACGTTTTAAGGTGCTCAGTGCCTTCACCAAACTATGATACAGATGGGCAGGGTTACCAATTTGGATTGATCAGTAATTTCACAAAAAAGTGCATCCTTGTGTCAGTATGGCTTCTTTGTCTGGCTTTCCTCCCACTTTAAGTGCACATGCTGTGATATAACTGGAATACTGTTCAAAGTGGTGTCAACATAACTCACTCACTCCCTTTGTCTGGATATGGTTTACAATAGGATGAAAACTAAGGTTTGGGCCTTCACATTTACCTAAAATGGCTAACAAGAGTTCAGGCCGTTGTCACCAGATTTGGGGTTCAGGACGTCTTCTCCAGTCACTGGAGTGGAAACTAGGTTTGGGGACCAGGCCGGGCTCTTGCACCAAACAATGGTTTGCGGGATGAAGAAAACTCCTTCTTTAGATAATGGTTTACAAGACATGGTGAATTGGGGCTGACGATGGCTTAACCACACATTGGTAATTGAGAATGGGAAACAAATTCGACCAATTTCAACAGGTGATGGTTTGCAAGACAGGAAAACAGGATAATATGCATAAAGGTAGAAAGATCGAGCGTAACAATTTTCTAGTATTTGCACCTGTGCATTTTAGTGATTCTCATAGTTGATTGGTCAACTCACCAAGGTTTGGGACTTACCTTATTCGTTCGCTCAGGACAGTTAATCCAGAATTCCTTGTCCTCATTGGGCCTTGGACACTTTCATCTGACAAATACATTTTATAAAATAGATAGTTGATAGAAAAGCCTCCATTGTTTTGTCACTCTTTACACTTAAAACACCTTTTTATGCTTTAATACAAATAGTTTTTCAACATGTTTAGATTGCATTTTGTACTTCTGTTATGCACACCACGCCTACAATGTGTGTGTGCGTGTGCGTGTGCGTGTATTATTGTAAATTTGTTGCCAAATGCATGTATCCTTTGTGTGAAGTTGGTAAGTTTGGTAGCTTTTTGCAACAACCCTGATATGACATGATAGGAATACATATGTTCAGAGTAAGGTTAAAATATTCGTCTGATAAATGTGTTTTCCTGGTAAAATGAAATGTTCTGAAGTTTAATCCTATCAAATGCAAATTTGTTGAATTAGCCTGCAGGACAAGAGTTTGGCTGACAAATTCTTATGAGAAAGTTAAGTTTTGAACATTTTCTTTTTTGATATTATACTGGTCATTGTTGGAGTGACTAAATGAGAAGTGTATGTAGAATGGATGTCTTTCTCACATATTAATATCATTTCACAACCCTGATATTCTTTTCCAGGGCTTCAATTCCTCAGGATGGAAGTCAGCCTGCTGCATCAAGTACTACATTGTCGGCAACAATCTCAAGTTCACCTACACCCTCTGACTGTACAAATGCCACTTTGCCTACATCTCTCCCTGCTTCAGCCCCACCTGTAAGAGCCCCACCAACAGATGCTGCCACAAGACCTAACCCTACTGATCCCAATTTGCCAAGTCCTGTTTCTGTTCCGGAGTCCCCTGCAGGAGTTCCTCCAGGAGTTGCTGCTGGTCCCGGAGGTGTCCAATCAGTGATGGTGAACTGTCATACCGAGGACATCGATGTAGCAACTGAGGCTGATGAGGACATTTACAGCTAGCCTCTCTGGTTCCATCACAATTAACATATTAATGATGTCAATGTAGCAACTGTGGTTGATGGGGACCTTCACAGCTAGTCTCTACTGGGTCTGTTTGAGCGGTGTAAGAATTGCATACATTGTTATCTCCCATGTTCTCATGTTGATTTCTTGTTTTGTTCAATGTGAAGTTCTTGTAAGATTTTACCTCTGAGGATTCCATGTTTGAACTGGTCCCCATTACCCAGTACTTGTCATAAGAAGCAACTAAAATGGATCCGTGATCAGCCTTGGTGACATGGTTGATTGCCTGTCATCTTATTCTGATAGCATTGGATGCTCATAATGTCAATCACTGGCTGCTCTGATCCAGACTACATTGTTTACAGGCCACTGAGATAGATAAAGCTGAAATGTTGCTGACTGTAAGGGTAAATCCAAACAAACGACTCGGTATTAATTACAGACTTGAATAGGTCCACAACACAGCATTTGTAAGAAGAGCTGGCTAAGAATGGGCGGTTACAACAGGTAACCAGAATGAGTGATTGTTGTTCATGCTACAAATGATTGGTTATATTGTATACATTCCACAGTAATATTGCTGATCATTGCTGCATAAAACAATGTTCATTCACATGATCTGTATGAAACTTTACAAGAGACTCTTTTGCTTTCCATGAGGCTCAGTGTAGGGAGTTTATCATGTAAAGTCGAACCTCAATATTATGGAATATTCTTCATGATAGAATTCCTTTATGTCAAATGAAAGTGTGTGTTAGCATGGTTAGTCCTGTTAACACTCTACAATTACACAGACATAAATCAACATTGTATAAGACTGTATACTGACGTTGGGTGTTGAGTGACATTTGTGATATATTTGAATTGTGCAATATTCAGGAGTAAGACAAGAATAAAACAAAGACTCCTTGTGAGGTTGAATCTCCAGGGTCAAGCTAGTTCAAAATTCACTCTGGTCCGCTAGCCCAAGACTATTAAATTGTGCAGAGGACAAGTAAAACTCTGATGATGGTACTACTCATGGACTAGTAGCATTTGAGGGCTATTATTCTGAACCAGTTCTCAATGCTTCCATTTTGATACAAATTGCAACTGAATAAGACATAGTAAGCATTTTGTCTTGTTCAAACACGACTAGATACAAACTTTGAGGACTAGACAAATGAGGTATACATTAGTCCTCTGGACTAGTCTTAACAACAAATTCCCAAGGCTGAATCTGTTATTACTGTGCAATATCAGTGCTTGTTATTTTAGACTTTCAGTTCTATGCTGGGGCAAGTCTGCTTCTACAGATAGTCATGATGAAAATGAATGTTTGTTGACAGAAATATTATCACATAATCCCATTTTAGTAGTGCTTATGTAACATCATATGCAAATGCCTGTTCAAGAGCATGATGTTGTAAGAAGATGAAAATGTACCTCATCTGTTTTATATAGATTTCAGAATATTAGAAGAGAAAAGGCAGAGGAAAATTCCCTTTAATTTAATGAACTAAAGTTTCCAAATATTTTCTTTTATAATGGTGTGTTGACATATGTGAATATCAAATAAACTTTAATGAACAAATAGTTTGTGTAGTATTCTTTTCTCTTTCTTTCCTCCTATTACATCCCTCATGGTGTGAATGTAAGTTCTGTTCTGTGGATATTCATGAAAAATGTGGAGACGATTGGTACTTACATCCAGATTTAAGATACACTATTGAGAATTTTAGAGACTTACAACCATGAGAGTATGGATCGGTTGAATTGCTTTAACAAGTATGAATTATTTGAGTGTGGTTTCCATAGCTGATTGTGAACAACTCAAATGGTTGCAACCAGCTAAGCTATTGGTCCATCATCTGTACATCTTTCTATCCATTAACTCTTCAGAGTTTTCACAACGCCTAAAACACCATTGGACTTATACATGTGAAGACAGTCGTGTCAAATCACTCCACTTCAAATTTCAACATGGCCATGATGGCTGCCATGGAATGCGGAGAAAGTGTTTTGGTAGTAGTTATAAATTAGACAATGCTAAAATACTTCTTAATGATGAAAATATTTACAAATATGTGATTAATTACAATGAAGATACATGCATTCAATTGTTTCCAAATAAGATGTTAAAGAGTTTTTGAAGAAATTAATTCTTTACATTCATTTTGTACGCTTTCTTATTTTCTCTCAAAATTGATTTATTTCAACTGAAACGAAACAGTATTTAAAATATTAAAACTGTTTTGATGTACGTGTTTTGACTGCATTATATTCTCTCAAAATGCACATTTGGCTCTGTGAACTGTTTATCTGTGATAGGTAGTGCATCCCAGTGATAACATCTGATGTAGAGACAGGAACGTGGGTGGTAGCATTTGTTCACCTGTCTGTCTGGTGACAGGAGATTAGGAATCCTTGCAATGGGACAGATCGATCATCCATAAAAAAATAATGTATCTTTATTTGCCAGTCTGCACAGGTGTCTGATGGATAAAATACACTAAGCATGATAAAGGTGCAAGAAGTACCTCTGAAACGTCATACAAAGAATAAAAGAAGTTGCTCTCCATAAAAGAGTCATTTATTTGAGGAACAAAATGGTAAAAATGACAAGTCATAATATTTTACTGGCAAAATCGTTTGTGTCAGGAAGAGTGCACATAGAGCTGGTAGGGAAGCAGCATATTGTCTGCATCACTGTCATATCGCTACAGGATCACTGAGAAACTTATTATTTTTCTTAAATACTATGCCATGAATCAATGAATAACTGTCACTTAAACACAACCTCGAAATACTCGACATGAATTTATTTGTTTGATATTCAAAGGGTTACCCGCTCCCTGCTTGGCAGGTGTTAATGTGTTATGATAACAAGTCCTGCAATTAGCGGGAGTATTCGTCCTTGACAGACTTCCCAAAGTCTACCCTTCACTTGCTGCATTTAGGGGTTATGGTCCAGGAACGCCAAATCTGAATTTCAGATAGTCCCGGGAGTGCCGAACTCATAAATTGAGAGATTCTGCTTTTCGTACCGGGAGTCTCAAATCGACGGAATACCCGTGAGTGCGGTGAACCGTGAATGCGTACGGTTTTATGATATAAACGAGGCATACCTAAGTACATTTAATTAAATTTAGTAGAAATAGACTTTATGATATAAAGGAGTAGTTCAGAGTTATTGACTGTGTTTACAGTTGCAGCTAGTGAGTCTACTGACGATGTTGTTGTGTTTACAGATAAAGCCCAAGAAGGTCAAAATTATTGAAGAGTTATTGACTGTGTTTACAGATGCAAAGAGTTTACTCACCATTCGGGTGTGTTTACAGATAAAACGCTTGTTTTAGAAGATCAAACCTTAGTGTATGGACTCCTACCCGATAAAACAGAAGCTAAATATGTGCGGGTATTCGAATATTTGCGTGAGAAGGCACATGACCTGAACTTAGACTTCTCTCCACAGGTTGTTCAACCTGATTTCGAGTTATCTGCCCACAATGCCTTGTACCGGAAGTGCCAAATCCTGTGTCATTGAACCGTGTCTGAGTCCCTACTGGTCCCGGGAACGCCAAGAGGATTTTTCCTCCCAAATATCAAATTTGGCACTCCCGGGCCGACACCTACCCTTCACTTTCTGCATTTAGGGATACATCCTCTCCCAGGGGGTGACATAGCCAAACGTGTATTTTGTTGGTGACGTTTAGTCTTGTTTTGGACTCTAAGTTGTCATAACAAATGTGTGTGATGACTGTATTTACAAACATGATGAAAATGATACCGTCATTGCCATACCTTTGGGAGACCCGTGAAAATCCGGGGTAGAATAGGTCCTCAGCAACCCATGCTTGCCTTAAAAGGCGACTAACGTAAGAGGTGACTAACGGGATCTGGTGGTCAGGCTGGCTGACTTGGTTGATGCATGTCATCGTATCTCAATTGTGTGGATCGATGCTCATGATGTCAATTACTGGAATGTCCAGACTCGATTATTTACAGACCGCCGTCATACAGCTGGAATATTGCTGAGTGCGGCGTTAAACAACAAACAAACAAGCAAACACACTTACCTTGGGGCTAACTTATCATGGGCAAACCAGTTACCCTGCAATTAGGGGTGTATTGAAGATATACCAGTGTGACACAGGACTTGGTCAACTTTCCGCGAACACCTAGTATAATCACCATTTGATAGTTATTTGTTAACCGGGCTCATGAATTAGTCGGAATCGTGCTATCAGTATGCTTTGAACAGATATATATTGTGGATATGGAAAGGTTTTGTCGCTTTTATTGGTTATGAAGTCAGTTTCATACAAATACCTGACCTGTGATAAGGGAGATATGGCAGTGCAATTCGCCTTGAAAGTAGACTAGTTTAGGAGTCAGACAAGTTCAGAATGTAGATCTGCTTAGAAGGTAGACCTCTTCAGAAGGTAGACCTGTACAGAAGAAAGACCAGTTCAAAAAGCAGACCTGTTTAGAAGGTTCAGAAGGTGGATTTGTTCAGAAGGTTTAGTCCTCAGTATTTATACGAAACATTTGAATAGCATTGCTTTCCTCTGCCACATTACACACTCGTGATTCGTGAGTTGCGTCCCTTTGGCACGCCAGAAACCTATGATTGTGGGTTCGAATCCCGGTTCGCCCCGATTATGTTTCTAGGTTTGTCAGCACCATACCCGTGCTTGTGGGTTTCACAGAAGTGGTAAACATCTGAGACCTGCATCACTTCGGGCTTTCCTCCCACATTAAGCTGTCACGCGGTGATATAACTGCAATAATGTTAAAAGCTTCGTTAAACCCAACTCACTCACTCACTCACACACATTACACGCTCCATTAACAAATTACGTTTTTTATCGTCTTTATATAAACCTACGCCGTGAAATGATTATCTTTCATTGAAAAGTTATCTAAAAAGGTTAAACACTATTTCCATTTGTGTATTTATCCTTTGTTTACAATGGTTGCACGGCTCCACGTGCAGACGTCAAAGCTCCATAGATATAGCGATACGGTCAAATGACGTGTAAAGATATATTGTCAAAATCATCAGTGTCGCTGTAAGCTGGGCCCCGACTCTTGATATCACTACAAACTATGATCTGACGACGCGCAAAAAGAGCCGGTAACCAGCTAACTCTCGCTGTTGGAATAGCGGATTTTAATAATTATGTAAAACAATCTTTAAATCACACTGAAGGACTTGCATGAGAACGAATTGATATGATTTCAGTGTTAGCGCATTTGTTTACAAAGGAAATGTCCGGTCACGTGACATCCTTGTGGCCGCAGTGTCATGAGGATGACCCTCACTTAGAGGCGTTCATGACAACCGAGTTGAATTCTATATAAAGTTCAAAAACATTTTATTTACAATTGATTTACAAAATTATTTAAAAACAGATAATTGAATAACAAAATAAAGTCCAAGTGCAAATGTAGATCCAAAATCTGAGAAAAGTGACTGAAAGCGAAAATTAGAATGATAAAACGTGGTATAGTTTTAAATATAAACTGTTATTTGCAATATATAAACAACACCGATAATTATAGGGGTATACCTCTTTTGAGCATTTTTAGCAAGATATTTACTATTAATAAAAGATTGGGCTAGTACAATGAACAAAATTGATGAGTCACAAGCTGGATTCAGAGACGGATATAGTACCGTGGACAACATATTTATATTACATTGTTTAATACAAAGATACCTTAATAATAAGGGTGGAAAGTTTTATGTAGTTTTTGTAGATTTTTCTAAAGCATTTGACTCTGTGCAAAGAAATAAACTTTGGAATCTTTTTAAGACCCATGGATTAAGTTCTAAAATGAATAAATTGTTATGTAGCATTTATGAAAATGTAAAAGTCTGTGTTAGAAATAACCAAGTTATTTCTCCTACATTTTCAAGTCATTTAGGAGTACCACAGGGTTGTATCTTAAGCCCGTTCCTGTTTTCGTTATTCATCAATGAATTTGCAATGCAAATATATAATAATTTTTCCTATGGAATTCAACTACACCCAGAAGAAATACAATTGTTTTTACTTTTGTTCGCAGACGATATTGCACTATTTTCAAGTACTATTAAAGGTCTACAGTCACAAATTAATGAGTTAGAAAAGTATTGTGATGAATGGAAATTGAATGTAAATAGAAATAAAACAAAAATTGTTGTATTTAAAAACTGCGGTAATCAAAATATGAAAAATGGTACTATAAAGGTAACCAATTGGAGATAACAAGTTTTGATAAATATTTAGGAGTGTATTTTACTAACCGTCTTTCATGGACATATCATGTAAGCCAAGCATCCTTACAAGCTCAAAAGGTATTCATTGGTATTCAACGAAATGCATGTGGTCTAAACTTTGATTATAATACACTTTTCAAAATTTTTGATGTAAAAATAAGTCCAATTTTATTGTATGGTGCAGAGATTTGGGGACTCTCAAAAGTAGATGCTATAGAAAAGATTCACTTGTATGCATGTAAGATATATTTAGGTGTAAAAGTTAATACACCCGGGGTTATGGTTTATGGTGATTGTGGTCGCTATCCACTGTATATTTTTGCATATATTAAAGTTATCAAATATTGGTGAAGAATTTTAAATATGCCTTTGTATAGATTTCCAAAAAAGGGTTATAATATGTTATTGTTGTTTGATTCAAATGGTAAAAGAAACTGGGCAACTGGTGTTAGAGAACTCTTATTTGAATCTGGTTTTGGTAATGTTTGGTATGATCAACGGGTCAATAATACTGCTGAGTTTATCTAGTCACTGAAACAAAGACTAAAAGATATTTATTTACAATCATGGAATGTTTCATTAGCATTATCAAATAAACACTTTTATTATAAACTTTTTAAACCTTACATTTATAGAGAATGCTATCTCGTTAATATTACCGTACCAAAATATAGAAAAGCATTGGCACGGTTTCGTTGCATGTCGCATGATCTACATATTGAAACAGGCAGATATATAATTACCCCACGAGAACAAAGAATATGTAACATGTGTAACTTAAATGAAATAGAAGACGAGTATCACTTCCTTATCAGATGTCCGTTATATTTAGAACTAAGAATAAAATACTTACCAAAATACTATTACAGTGAACCAAACATATGTAAACTTATAAGTTTATTAAAATGTGAGAGAACAGAGGTTGTAAAGAATTTATCGATGTTTATTTACCATGATTTTGCCCATAGAAATGAAATTGTTAACTGTTAATTAAATACTATCTATGCCAGAATGAAATGAGCATTATATATGTGGGATATAATTTATTTCAATTTAATGTTCTATTGTAATGATTAATTATGTGGAATTGTATTATGTACTAAAGGCCTGTGGCCTCTTGAGTACGAAATAAAGATTGATTGATTGAATATATGTTAACTGTACACGGTTCAAAATATCTGGGTATTATGGAGTATCTCGTCCTGATTTGCGTCGGAATCTTCTGACACCTTCGTTGATATTAGCCATATCTCTATAGATACGTTACCACTGATGTCCAGAACGTTCACAACCTTTTGCACTGTTTCATTTCAGGCTACTTGACCATGTGGTTTTGTTTGTTTGTTTGTTAATCCAGCTATGTGACGGCGGTCTGTAAATAATCGAGTCTGGACCCGAAAATCCAGTGATTGACTTCATGAGCATCGATCCACGCAATTGGGATTGATGGCATGCATCAACAAAGTCAGCGAGCCTGACCACCCGATCCCGTTAGTCACCTCTTGCGACAAGCATTGTCGCCTTTTACGGCAAGCATAGGTTGCTGAAGACCTAATCTACCCCGGATCTTCACGGATCTGACTATGTAGAGAAACTGTGTGAAACTGTGAATGTGGTTACGGGTGGCCCAGTCGTCGAAGGCGCCGCAATTAGAAGTGCTGGGTCATGCAAGGATTCATTGATCTTGGGTTCGAGTCCTAGATAATGAGTGAGTTATGGTCGGTCAGCTCAAAAACTATGCATAGTTTCACCAAATTTGTAAAAAAACAACGTCTTCGTGATAAGCTTCCCTTCCACATTAAACAGACACGCCTGGATACGAATGTCATCCACTTACAATCCATAGCAACGTTACAACCAATTCACTCGCACGTTGTGGGTAGCAATGTTTCAGTATGTATTTGCAAGCTAAAACATCAACATCCACGTGCTATGCAACCGAGGTGAGAGGCAAGTTAATATTAATTTGAAGCTTCTGATGTGTGGACTAAATGAAGGCGTCACATCTTCTCCTTATTCCACAGGACGAGACTTCCGTCCACATAGAACAGATTTGCACTCTGATCTGAACCGTCCAGACGAGAAGCTGTAGACGAAAGGATTGACTACACAGTTAATAAATGGCAAGTGCAAAGCTAGATCAATCAGATTCAGCTTCCATGGCTCAATGTCCTCATCTGCCTTCTTCATGCTGCAATAAAAGCACAGAAGCGTTACAGGGATTCCACAGCAGAAATAGATCACCGTCAAAATGGAAAACGCTGTCGTAGGTTTCAAGAGATTCTCTCCACACGTTACGGATAAGTTTGTATATCCTCTTAGTGCTTTCGATATCAAACAATACATCACTACCAACACTCCAGTGATGACCACGAGCTCAAGGCTCACCCACACAGACAGCAGCAGGGACGCTTTCTGATCCCCAATGAACTCAAATGTTACATTATTAAAATTACACATGGTTATATTTCCCGAACCAGTCTTCATCTGGAACCGCTCCACCAATAATATTATTGGGATGCTGACAAGTAAGGAAAACGTCATGCACATGGCAACAATCCTTCTGGCCTTGTTCGCCGTCATCTGGGGACCATGTGGCCGGTTGATCTTCTGGAATCGTTGGACTGCAATCCCGATATACAACATTCCTGTCGTTAACATACTGTGGTGGTTGGTGAAGCTGACAAATTTGCACAGAGCGTTTTGATTATCATCGTTTAAAGGAAATACTTTGAAAATAATAACTGATGGTATGGTGTATAAGGAGTTAGCCAAGTCAAGCGTAGCCAACGCTCTTACGAATAAGCCGAAGACGGGTAGTCTGATCTTGTGGGTGTAGATGTGGAGGATGAGGATGTTTCCTGTGCTACCGAGGAGGGCGATCACAACACACAGGGAAATGAGGGCAGCGTGTGTGAGAGCCAAGTCCGACGGGTCATTCATGTTTAGTGCCTGGAAGGAAGGGGAAAGGAGAGAGTAAATTGGGTGTAATGGAATAACAGGGCCCAACCAGCTTATATTCTAAAATTCCCTTGGATTGACTTAAAGAATACGCTTTCTGTCACGACCTGAAGGCAAACACTACTTTTATTTTAACATTTAGCAGCCAATCAATTTCTTTTGGGCCCAAAGACCTGATTCTGATTCATTCAGTTGCTGCTCAGACCGCCTCCGTGGTCTAGTGGTAGAGCGTCCGCCCAGAGAGCGGAGGGTCCGGGGTTCGATCCCCGGCCGCGTCATACCAAAAGACGTTGAAAGATGGTACTTGTTGTTACCCTGTCTGACGCTCGGCATTAATCGGATAAAACAAGGACTGGTCGGCTCGGAGTCAGTATACTGTGTCTGAGTGGGGTATTCATGTTAAACTGCGGCATGGTATCTCAGTGGACTAGCACAATAAATCGGCATCAGTCCGGACTAGTACAAGCAGCCACACACACACGCGTGCATGCACTTCGCTCTATAAGTGCAATAATCTTCGACGTGACGTTAAACCCTATTTCACCTCACCAGTTGCTGCTCATGCGATTGACCACTGGTTGGCCTTGGAAAGACGGGGTTGTTTTTTGGTCGTCTATATTCAGCTGGATTATTGCTGACACTAGGGTTAAACCAACATTCACTCACTCACACCACTTTGACATCCTCCACGCCACTGCACCACCCCTATGTGTTCACTGATATTGAGAATATGTGAAATACGCATTAAACAGCAAAACGGTGTTAAACTCAACTAATACACATAACCAATCATGACTCGCCTGCGTCTAATACATGGAAAACAAAGAAGGAAGGCTTTCTGTGTGAATTCCCATACCACGGACTCCCACACTGCCTGACGCCGTTCTGACTCTTATATTTAAGTTGACTGGACATCAGATGTGGTTGAAATCGTGAATTCAACTGTGATCAACAATATTTACATTTCAAACCCGATAAATTGTAGCACCGCAATGTACTTACTGTTACTGATGAGGCGGATATTGGCAATAAGTCGAGTCATCAAGGCATCACTGAGCTTGTCACGTAACGTTATAGTCACTTAAGCTAATATTGATATATCCGTTTGAGATGTTTTTCGACGTCAACACTTCCCTATATGTAAAGAAATGCCCTCTTTTTCAAATATGCATATGCATGTCTGATTATTTCCTGGTGAACACTTGGTCCATTCCGGATGCTGGACTGTAGGGTATGAGTTGTATTATAAAAATAGGATATTTTTTCTGTCAATACAGTGAAATCGATATGGTCAAACGTATACTAGAATACTTCCGTGAACACGTAGTGACTGATTATTCACACAGATGTGAAACTATGCGCTCTATTTTCATTTAAAATATGTGGGAAATATTTCCGTTAATGTGTCATCATTGTGATATTCAATTACGAATAAAAGCTTCCTGTTTAATCAGAGGTTTCGTGTGAACTCTCCGAGAACTTAATTAGTGTCGCCTGAACATCTTTACATTGGTAAGATAAAATTACCTGTTCAAAAGGCAATTGTCTATGCGGGAGTGTACATAAGTACTGCTAAAACTTCGGTAGAAAGAACGAGGTTAGCATGTGAAAAACTGAGAAAACTGATAAATGTAAACCATGATTCTGGCCTGTACTTTGGTGGACTTAATCCTATAGCCGCCGTGCGCATCTGGCAACGAGTGGTATTACCCTGTGGCTTATATGGATGTAATGTGTGGGGAAAACTATCCTTAAAGGAATATGAAATGCTAGAAATCACTCAACGCTATTTCTGTAAGAAAATCCAGGGTTTTAATAAGCGTATGCCTAAAGAAATAGAGAGGGACACAATTGGTGTTATATCAGTACAAGGATACATTGATCAACAAAAGCTTTTGCTCCTTGGTAAGCTATGTAATTCAAACCTAATGTATATTTTCAAACAAATGTTTCTAGCCCGACTTGGACAGTTTAGATATAAAACAACACTAGTTAATAAGAACAAGTGGGACACGAAATCACCCATCTTTAGCATGCTACATCTTGTCTCCAAATATAATTTATCTGACGAGGTTAATGATTATATAATGTGTTCAAATTTCATCAAGAAACGATTATGGTCAAAACTGGTGAAAGAAAAGATTCACCTACACGAAAAACAATTACTAAACAATGCGTTTCTGAGCAGATTATCTCTGTCAAGATATCTAACAATACGATCTGGACGAGAACATAGATTATGGAAACTTGCTCTCGATAGACCAGAATATTTTACTTCCTTAGCTAGACTAGTTCGCTTAGGTTCAATGCCAATAGAATCAAAGGAATGTATTTGCGGAACAGTTGCGAATGATATAGTGAAACACGTTTTCATGTCATGTCAAAAGAATTTAGAAGAAAGAAATATCATATTTGATAAAATCATTGATTTGCTTGATGTTAAAATATTTGTGAGAATCTGGGCAGACGATGACACCTTTCTGACTTTTTTGCTTGGCGGGTTAACCGAACAACTTGAAGTAGAATTAGACTACAATGTATGGGCAGAGAGCATGATAAATATTGGTGGTGCAGTAAAAAAGTGGGATGAAGTCATCCGAAGCTGCTTATACTAAACAATGTATGTATTGTAAACAAGTGTACATTTGTAAATAACACATGCTAATTGTCCATCTAATAACACAAATAATCAATACGATACATACGTGTAATATTTTTTATGAACTACTTCTGACATATATGTAATATATATATGTATGTGTGTGTGCACGCATATACTATAGATGTTGTTCTTTCACTGTATACCTTGTACTCTTCATGAAATGGAGGAAATAAAGAAGATCTATCTATCTATCTATCTCTTCACCAACCCCAACTCTACACCAACCCCAACTCTACACCCATCCCAACTCTATACCCACCCCAACTCTACACACCCCTCAACTCTACACACACCCCAACTCTACACACACATGTACACCCACCATCTCTTTACCAACCCCAACTCTACACCCACCCCATCTCTACACCCATCCCACTTCTAACCCAGTCCCACCTCTACACCCGTACCCACCTCTAAACCCATCCCATCTCTAAACCCACCCCACCTCTACACCCACACCATCTAAACACCAATCTCATCTGTACACCCATCCCACCTCTAAACCCACCCCATCTCTACACCCACCCCACCTCTAAACCCACCCCATCTCTACACCCACCCCATCTATACGCCAATCTCATCTGTACACCCACCCCACCTCTACACCCACACCGTCTAAACACCCACCCCACCTCTAAACCCACCCCACCTCTACACACACCCTATCTCTACACCAACTCCACATCTACACACTTCTTATCCCACATCATCTCAAAACCCTACCCACCTCTAAACTGACCCCACCACTACACCCACCCTACCTCTAATCCCATCCATCTCTACACCAACCCAAACTCTACACCCACCCCACATCTACACCCACCTCACCTCTACACACAGCCCATCTCTACACCACCTCACCTCTACACCCACCCCACTTCTACACACATCCCATCTCTACATCAACCCTATCTCTACTCCCACCCCATCTCTACACCAACCCCATCTATATGCCCACCCCATCTCTACACCCATCCCATCTCTACACCAACCCCATCTCTACACCCACCCCATCTATACGCCCAGCCCATCTCTACATCAACCCTATCTCTACTCCCACCCCATCTCTACACCCACCTCATCTATATGCCCACCCCATCTCTACACCCATCCCATCTCTACACCAACCCCATCTCTACACCCACCCCATCTATACGCCCACCCATTCTCTACACCCACCCAATCTATACGCCCAGCCCATCTCTACACCCACCCCATCTCTAGACACACACCATCTCTACACCCATCCCACATCTACACCCACCTCACCTCTACACACACACCATCTCTACACCCACCCCACATCTACACCCACCTCACCTCTACACACACCCCATCTCTACACCACCGCACCTCCACACCCACCCCACTTCTACACACACCCCATCTCTACACCAACCCTATCTCTACACCCACCCCATCTATATGCCCACCCCATCTATACGCCCAATCATTCTCTACACCCACCCCATCTATACGTCGAGCCCATCTCTACACACACACCATCTCTACACCGACCCCACTTCTACACACACCCCATCTTTACACCACCTCACCTCTACACCCACCTCACCTCTACATACACTCCATCTCTACACCACCTCACATCTACACCCACCTCACCTCAAAAACACACTCTATCTCTACACCACCTCACCTCTACACCCACCCCACCTCTACACCCACCCCACCTCTACACACACCCCATCTTTACACCCACCCCACCTCTACACACATCCCATAACTACACCCACCCCATCTATACGCCCACCCCATCTCTACACCCACCCCATCTATACGCCCACCCCATCTCTACACCCACCCTATTTATACGACCAGCCCATCTCTACACCCACCCCATCTTTACACCCACCTCATCTATATGCCAACCCCATCTCTACACCAACCCCATCTCTACACCAACCCCATCTCTACACCCACCCCATCTATACGCCCGCCCCATCTCTACACCCACCCCTTCTATACGCCCACCCCATCTCTACACCCACCCCATCTCTACACACACACCATCTCTACACCCACCCAACATCTACACCCACCTCACCTCTACACACACACCATCTCTACACCCACCCCACATCTACACCCACCCCACATCTACACCCACCCCATCTCTACACCCACCCCACATCTACACCCACCCCATCTATACGCCCACCCCATCTCTACACCCACCCCATCTATACGCCCACCCCATCTCTACACCCACCCTATTTATACGCCCACCCCATCTCTACACCAACCCCATCTATACGACCAGCCCATCTCTACACCCACCCCATCTTTACACCCACCTCATCTCTACACCAACCCCATCTCTACACCCACCCCATTTATACGCCCGCCCCATCTCTACACCCACCCCTTCTATACGCCCACCCCATCTCTACACCCACCCCATCTCTACACACACACCATCTCTACACCCACCCAACATCTACACCCACCTCACCTCTACACACACACCATCTCTACACCCACCCCACATCTACACCCACCCCACATCTACACCCACCCCATCTCTACACCCACCCCACATCTACACCCACCTCACCTCTACACACACACCATCTATACGCCCACCCCATCTCTACACCCACCCTATTTATACGCCCACCCCATCTCTACACCAACCCCATCTTTACACCCACCTCATCTATATGCCAACCCCATCTCTACACCAACCCCATCTCTACACCAACCCCATCTCTACACCCACCCCATCTATACGCCCGCCCCATCTCTACACCCACCCCTTCTATACGCCCACCACATCTCTACACCCACCCCATCTCTACACACACACCATCTCTACACCCACCCCACATCTACACCCACCTCACCTCTACACACACACCATCTCTACACCCACCCCACATCTACACCCACCCCACATCTACACCCACCCCATCTCTACACACACACCATCTCTACACCCAACCCACATCTACACCCACCTCACCTCTACACACACACCATCTCTACACCCACCCCACATCTACACCCACCTCAACTCTACACCCACCCCATCTATACGCCAAGCCCATCTCTACACCCACCCCATCTCTACACACACACCATCTCTTATCCCACCCTATCTCTACTCCCACCCCATCTCTAAACACACCCCATCTCTACACACACCCTATCTCTACACCCACCTTATCTCTACGCCCACCCCATTTCTACACCAACCTAATCTCTACACACTTCTCTACACCCACCACATCTCTACACCTACCTATCTCTATACCCACCCCATCTATACGCCCACCCTGTCTCTACACCCACCCCATCTCTAAACTAATCCAACCTCTACACCAACCCTACCTCTAAACCCACCCCATCTCTACACCCAACGCATCTATACGCCAATCTCATCTGTACACCCACCCCACCTCTACACCCACACCATCTAAACACCCACCCCACCTCTACACCCACACCATCTTAACACACTCAACCTCTAAAGCCATCCCACCTCTACACACACCCCATCTCTACACCAACTCCACATCTACACACATACCACTTCTTATCCCACATCATCTCAAAACCCTACCCACCTCTAAATCCACCCCACCACTACAACCACCCTACCTCTATTACCATCCCATCTCTACACCAACCCCATCTCTACACCCACCCCATCTCTACACTCACCCAATCTATATGCCCACCCCATCTCTACGCCCACCCATTCTCTACACCCACCCCATCTATACGCCCAGCCCATCTCTACACCAACCCCATTTCTACACCCACCCCACATCTACACACACCTCAACTCTACACACACCCTACCTCTAAACCAACCCCATCTCTACACCAACCCCACCTCTAAAGCCACCCCACCTCTACACACACCCCATCTCTACACCAACTCCACATCTACACACATACCACTTCTTATCCCACATCATCTCAAAACCCTACCCACCTCTAAACCCACCCGACTACTACACCCACCCTACCTCTAATCCCACCCCATCTCTACACCAACCCCATCTCTACACCCACCCCACATCCACACCCGTCTCATCTCTACACACACCCCATCTCTACACCACCAAACCTGTACACACACCCCATCTCTACACCCAACCCATCTCTACACCAGCCCGATCTCTACACCCATCCCATCTATACGCCCATCCCATCTCTACACCCACCCCATCTCTACACCAACCCCATCTCTACACCCCATCTCTACACCAGCCCCATCTCTACACACGCCCCATCTCTACACCCCATCTCTACACCAGCCCCATCTCTACACCCATCCCATCTATACGCCCATCCCATCTCTACACCCACCCCATCTCTACACCAACCCCATCTCTACACCAACCCCATCTACACGCCCATCTCTACACCCACCCCATCTCTACACACACCCCATCTCTACACCCCATCTCTACACCAGCCCCATCTCTACACACACCCCATCTCTACACCCCATCTCTACACCAGCCCCATCTCTACACCCATCCCATCTATACGCCCATCCCATCTCTACACCCACCCCATCTCTACACCCACCCCATCTCTACACCAACCCCATCTCTACACCCCATCTCTACACCAGCCCCATCTCTACACACACCCCATCTCTACACCCCATCTCTACACCAGCCCCATCTCTACACCCATCCCATCTATACGCCCATCCCATCTCTACACCCACCCCATCTCTACACCAACCCCATCTCTACACCAACCCCATCTACACGCCCATCCCATTTCTACACCCACCCCATCTCAACTTCCACCCCATCTCTACACCCACCCCATCTCTTCACCCAACCCATCTCACACCAACCCCATCTCTAAACCCACCCCATCTCAACTTCCACCCCATCTCTACACCCACCCATCTCTACACCCACCCCATCTCTACACCCACCCCATCTCTACACCCACCCCATCTCTACACCTTCCCCATCTCTACACCCCATCTCTACACCCACCCCATCTCTACACCCACCCCATCTCTACACCTTCCCCATCTATACACCCACCCCATCTCTACACCCACTCCATCTCTACACCCACCCCATCTCTACACCCACACCATCTAAACACCCACTCCACCTCTAAAGCCACCCCACCTCTACACCCACCCCATCTCTACACCTTCCCCATCTCTACACACACCCCATCTCTACACCCCATCTCTACACCAGCCCCATCTCTACACCCATCCCATCTATACGCCCATCCCATCTCTACACCCACCCCATCTCTACACCAACCCCATCTCTACACCAACCCCATCTACACGCCAATCCCATTTCTACACCCACCCCATCTCAACTTCCACCCCATCTCTACACCCACCCCATCTCTTCACCCAACCCATCTCACACCAACCCCATCTCTAAACCCACCCCATCTCAACTTCCACCCAATCTCTACACCCACCCATCTCTACACCCACCCAATCTCTACACCCACCCGATCTCTACACCTTCCCCATCTCTACACCCCATCTCTACACCCACCCCATCTCTACACCCACCCCATCTCTACACCTTCCCCATCTCTACACCCACCCCATCTCTACAGCCCCACATCTACACCAACCCGATCTCTACACCCCCACATCTACATCAATACCACCTCCAAACCAAGCCCAGCTCTACACCCAGCCCATCTCTACACCCACCCGTTCTCTACTGCCACCCCATTTCTACACCAACTCCATCACTACACCCTCATCTCTACACCAACCCGATCTCTACACACACCCCATCTCTACACACACTCCCCATCTATACACCCACCCCATCTCTACACCAACTCCACCTCTACACCCCCACATCTACACCCATACCACCTCTTATCCCAGCCCATCTCTAAACCCATCCCAGCTCTACACCCACCCTATCTCTACATCAACTCCATATCTACACCCACCCTATCTCTACACCCACCCTATCTCTACACCACCTATCTCTACACCCATCCAATCTATACACTCACCCCATCTATACGCCCACCCGATCTCTTCACCAACTCCATCTATACACCCCCTCATCTATGCACCAAACCCATCTATACACCAACCCCATCTCTACACCAACCCCATCAACACAGCCACCTCATCTATACACCCACCCCATCTCCACACTCACCTCATCTCTACACCTTGCTATGAAAGAGGTCTGATCCTAAGGGAGATACATTATAGGCGCGGCCAGTCATCGATACGACATCGGTACTATCAGTGTTGTTGCGAGTAGTTTGTGGGGATGTAGCTGAGGCCTCGTCAGGGTCACCACCACACAAAACAGAAAATGTCTCACGCCGAAACTGTCTGGACGACCAGCCGTAAATGATAGGATTGACCAAGCAGTTAATGTAAGGCAATTGAATCACCACGTCAACTATTTGAAGCTGTGAAACCACAAGGTGTGGCAATTTGGGTGTCTGGCTAAAATAGATAGCCTGGATTAATCTTGGAACAACACTGATTAAATATATAACAGTCAAACTGAAAAATATTGACGTGATGTTCGATGTAGGTACACGGTTTGGAGAACTCTGTTTCATGGCATGTAACCTTAGATGGCGGGCAATCAATGAATACAACACGATAAGTGACGTCATAACAGTTACAAGCAACAGAAACATCCAGGCCGAAAATGCTATTGAAAGTTTCAGTTCTTTGCTTGTCTTAGAAAAATCACAAATTGGAACTTCAACAAATCCAGTTTGGTTGAGTGTCTCCCACCCCACCAGGAATTTATTGTTCGTCAGAATCAGCACGATAGGAAGTCCAGTCAGGACACAGAAGATGATACAGCCAAATGTCAACTTCTTTGCCAGGATCTCTGTAAACTGGGGACCATGTGGGCGGCATATTTTCCTGAATCTCTGAACAGCGATGACAACGTACAGAGTGCCTGTTATCGTGGTGTTGAAGTAATGGAACCAGGTTAAGTACTTGCACATCAGGGACGCGTTAACACTCCGGATGATTTTTGATACACAGAAGGCAGGAATTATTCCTATTGAGTTGATAAGATCCAGTGCAGCTAGAATTTTTACGAAGAAGCCAAAAATGTTGATTTTTATCCTCTTGGTGTAGATGTAGAGGATGAGACTGTTCCCTGGAATCCCCACAACCACTAGCAGCACACAAAAGACCACGATGGAGGGATGAAGCTGGAGTCTTTCCCAGGGACTGATGGGAACGATGGAAACGGAGGTTGTGTTGTTGCTCATGGTGGCCTGAATTCAGGTGAAGCACAAAGTCAATAGATGTATACAACATTTAGTTCAGCATTTAATTGTACAATTTACACACTTCAGTGGATCAGTGTGTGTTTTGGTGCAATTGCCTACGTCTATGACCTCAAGTGTGGTTACATTAGCAAAGGGATATTTGGGTCATCAGTAACGTAAATGTGTTTAAACTGTCATAATTGGTCTTGAATGTCCTTAACAAACTATATAAATGGTTCATCTCATACATAACCGATTAGAACGAATGATCAACACAGAGTTGCAGAAAACCCGAACCATTAAAACCCAATTTGAATTTGAATCAATTTCCACACTAACGAGAAATTAAACAACGAAAATTTATTTTGTGCTTACACTAAAATCAACACAAGTGGCTACTCTCAAGTTTTACAACAACAAACCGAAATGTTTGCAACCAAATATGTAACATTAGAAGACCGAGGACCGTCCAAACACAGCTTCCATCATGCAATAATATATTATAGTTGGAGTGAGTAAGTGAGATCTGTTTAACGCCGCTTTTAACAGTATTCCAGTTATATCGCGGCGTGTCAGCTTAATGTGGGGAGAAAGCCCCAAGTGATGCAGGTCTTAGACGTTTACCACTTCTGTGAAACCCACGAGCACGGGTATGGTGCTGACAAACCTAGAAACATGATCGGGGCGAACCGGGATTCGAACCAACAATCATAGGTTTCTGGCGTGCCAAAGGGACGTAACTATGCACAGCAAATCGCGGCGTCTTGGACGACTGGACCATTATAGTTGGAGATAGAGATACTAGTAGATATTACTTACTAACATTCACAATGTAGAGACAGAAAACCTCTTCCAGTTTGGTATCTCTTCCTTGAAACAATAATCGTTACACAGTTTTTGGAGAGGGCATTTCTATCCCATACAAATCTCACTGTTAGATTTCTAGAAGTTGCTTATCATCTGATCAACTGTCAAATGATATCAGACCATCACAGGAAAATTTCTCGTTTTCCTAAAATCATTTGCAATGAAAGTAGTTTCTGGTATATTTGAAGCTTCTCCTTCCTTCCTCCGGTTTTCATTGTTCTTGCAGTGTGAATACCACACTTTGTTACCGGCTCGATTTCTAACAGGCCGCCACCGTATGGCAGATTGCCGGGTGCGGCGTAAGGCAACGAACAGACACAAACGTTTCTACGCAAGTTCTGTGGGGTTGGATGATACCGGTGGAGCGAACACCTTGTTTCATGACTGATTTTCGGTGATCCATTCATATTCTTTTCATCACTATTTTGTCTTTTACGCCCGATGGAATCTGTTTCGGCGGATAATCGAGACTGGTTATTCTCTGGCGTTGACAATTTTAATTTACAGACGATAACGGGGAACACCGAACTTGTTGGCTGAGGTCATGCAGTCAGTTCAAGTCAAATCAATATTACGATATCAAGGAATGGTATCCTCAACAAATTCAGTCTTAGAATCACCTTGAGGTCTTGTACTGACTTACAATAACTCAGTTAAGGTGGGAGGAGATTGATATAAGTTTATTACACATTAGAAGTGTCGACTTGTTCCATCATTTCATTCATATTAATGGGGTATGGTTGGTAGGAATTTTATTCAGACATACATGCTTTGTGTCATTTTGTTTCCAGCATCTGTACTGCGATCTGTTTTGGATTGACAGAAAAACAACATTTCGCATTCATAAAACAACATTTTATTACCATGCATTTTTCAATAAACTGATTGGTTGTGGATATCACCCTGCCAATCTTTAATTTAAGACGACTTTAAGGCCATGACGAATACAATGAAAATGTCCTCTTTTATTAGTTTTATTCTCATTTCGAAATATATACGATATGTATAATTTCATTGAAAAGAGCTCTGTGTTATACGGTTGTGGTATGAGTTGTGTAGCGATCCTCAGTTGGCGTATTAGTAGTCAAGGCAGGATCAGGATCAGATCGGTTACCTAGAACAGAGAGTGTCGCACGTCGGAATCTTTTGTAGGAGAAACTGTAAATGAACAGATTTGCAACACAGTTCAAATTTGGCAAGTGAACAGCAACATCGGACATCTGTAGTTGCGTAAACGTAAGTTGGTGAAATTCTGGAGTCTGACTGAAATACACGGACTGAATTAGGCGTGGAATCACGCTCAGCAGATAGATCGCAGTCAAGCTGAAAAAGACTGTTAAGGAAACCGATGATCGTTTACCTCTTCCTGGGGAAGAAACACTCATCTGCCTGTTATGTTTCCTCAAATGCAGAACGATGGTTGAGTACAATAATGTCAATGAAACGAAAATACATAAAACGAACAAAACCATCCAGCCAGAAAATAATAGAGACATTTTCGTTTGCTTTGCTGTTTCAGTGTAGTCACAAGTTAGAGCCGAGACGACACAAGTCACGTTGTTAACTTTCCATTCAACTCTCAATAGGTTGTCTGTCAATATGAAGAAAACAGGGAGGCCAGAGACGAAACAGAAACTGATACTGAAATATGTCAACTTCTTTGCCAGAGGTGCCTCAAGCTGACGTCCATTTGGACGACATATTTTCTTAAATCTTTGAACAGCAATCACAAGGTACAGAGTCCCCGTGGTGCATGTATAGAAGTAACGGTACCATGTAAGGGTCTTACACACCAATGATAGGTTACCACTGGTAATAGTTTTAGACAACAGAAAGGCAGGTGTTATTCCAACAGAATTGATGAGATCAAGAACTGCAAGTGTCTTTATGAAGAATCCAAAAATGGCGATATTAATTCGTTTAGTGTAGACGTGGATAATGAGACAATTTCCTGGAATCCCCACAATCCCAAGAAGCACACAGAAGAAGGCAATCGTGGAGTGAAGCTGCATTCTCTCTGTGACACTAATTGCCAGGCAGTCTGTGTTGTTACTCATCGTTTCTGGAACAGAAGAAGGTGAGGTGAGGTAAATTGGGTTTAACGTCGCGTCCAAGATTATTGCACTTGTATAGCGACGTGCATGCACGTGTGTGTGTGGCTGCATGTACTAGTCCGGACTGATGCCGATTTATAGTGCTAGATCACTGGGATACAATGCCGCAGTTTAACATGAATACCCTACTCAGACACAGTATACTGACTCCGAGCCGACCAGTCCTTGTTTTACCCCCTTAATGCCGAGCGCCAGACAGGGTAACAACAAGTAAAATCTTTTAGCGTCTTTTGGTATGACGCGGCCGGGGATCGAACCCCGGACCCTCCGCTCTCCGGGCGGACGCTCTACCACTAGACCACGGAGGCGGTCTGGAACAGAAGAAGACGCATATGACAGCGAGTGAATGACTGACTGGGTGAGTGAGTAAGCCTTGAATATTATTTCAGTTGGCTTTGAGGTGGGAAGAAAGCCCGATGTGATGAAGGTTAGGGCGTTACCACTCTGTCAAAACGAAAAGAGAAAGCAATTCTGCACTGTAAATTGCGGCGCCTTAGTGCGACTGGGCCACATATGACAGAAGACATATATACAATAACACATATCAGGAAGTGGTTATTCAGTAAACGAACAAATAGTTTACAGAAAAGCCATATAACTCTTTTGTCAACCATTATCAAAACCAATTTCCATTCATTCTATCATCACTTCGATCAGAAGAATTAACTTACTTACTGTGAGACGCCAACCTAATCATGCAGAACATGGGATAGCAAATATTTTACACATGGTGTTGTAAGATTCATTGTAGAAGGTGTGTTTCATTGATATCTCTCTCGTATACATGAGGGGCGGTTGGGTAGCCTTGTGGTTAAAGCGTTCGCCCGGGTTCGATGAACATCGTGTTTAAACCAGGTGTTGTATAATTGTAACTAAGTTTTCCTTTCTTCTTATATCGGACATATATGAAACCGTACGTCACTTTATTCCAAGCGACAGTCTCATTGACAGTGTATATTGCACCATCCAATGTAAATATAAATATACCTACCTGAATATGTTCAAGCTACTCAAATGGGTCACCACACTAATGTTACGTCCAGGTCGATGTACAAATTTATTTCCATTTTCAACATCCGTGTGTACTTTCGGTGATAACATTAGATAAAGCATATGTAAAATCATTAAATGATTTTGTTCTGTTTAAAGCCGTATGTAATTTTATACATTAAGCACTTGTCATGGATTTCGATAGTTATGTATCAGTTTGATTGACCTCTGCCCATGATCCAGGAAAATATCATTTTCAATGTTAGAATATTTGTATCTTGTAAACCCAATGTTTTTTAAGGTATATTGGAAGACAAGTGACATTTCATTCTTGTGCGGCGCCTGCCTTTTTTGCTCAAGATTCCAGCGACAGTCCATCTCTTCGCCCACCCCATCTCTAAACGTCTCCATGTTTACACCGCCCCATCCCTTCACCAACTCAGTTTCTACAACAATCCGTCTCTACATCTCTCCATCTCTACACCTTCTACATCTCTACATCCACCCCATCTCTACACCCACCCCATCTCAACTTCAACCCGATCTCTACACCCGCCCAATCTCTACACCCGCCCAATCCCTACACCTATACCCCATCTCAACTTCCACCCCATCTCTACACCCGCCCAATCTCAACTTCCACCCCATCTCAACTTCCACCCCATCTCTACACCCGCCCAATCTCTACACCCGCCCAATCTCTACACCTACCCCATCTCAACTTCCACCCCGTCTCTACACCCACCCCATCTCAACTTCCACCCCATCTCAACTTCCACCCCATCTCTACACCTACCCCATCTTAACTTCCACCCCATCTCAACTTCCACCCCATCTCTACACCCACCCCATCTCAACTTCCACCCCATCTCTACACCATCCCATCTCTACACCCATCCCATATCAACTTCCACCTCATCTCTACACCCGCCCAATCTCTACACCCGCCCCATCTCTACACCCATCCCATCTCTATATCCGCCCCATCTCTACACCCACCCCATCTCAACTTCCACCCCATCTCTACACCCATCCCATCTCTACACCCATCCCATATCAACTTCCACCCCATCTCTACACCCGCCCAATCTCTACACCCGCCCAATCTCTACACCCGCCCCATCTCTACACCTACCCCATCTCAACTTCCACCCCATCTCTACACCCACCCCATCTCAGCTTCCACCCCATCTCAACTTCCACCCCATCTCTACACCCACCCCATCCCTACACCCATCCCATCTCAACTTCCACCCCATCTCTACACCCATCCCATCTCTACACCCATTCCATATCAACTTCCACCCCATCTCTACACCCACCCCATCTCTACACCCACCCCATCTCAACTTCCACCCCGACTCTACACACACCCAATCTCTACACCCACCCCATCTCAACTTCCACCTCATCTCAACTTCCACCCCATCTCTACACCCATCCCATCTTAACTTCCACCCCATCTCTACACCCATCCCATGTCTACACCCATCCCATATCAACTTCCACCCCATCTCTACACCCACCCCATCTCTACACCCACCCCATCTCAACTTCCACCCCATCTCTACACCCACCCCATCTCTACACCCATCCCATCTCAACTTCCACCCCATCTCTACACCCACCCCATCTCTACACCCGCCCCATCCCTACACCTACCCCATCTCAACTTCCACCCCATCTCTACACCCATCCCATCTCTACACCTACCCCATCTCAACGTCCACCCCATCTCTACACCTACCCCATCTCAACGTCCACCCCATCTCTACACCGGCCCAATCTCTACACCCGCCCCATCTCAACTTCCACCCAATCTCTACACCCGCCCAATCTCTACACCCACCCCATTTCAACTTCCACGCCATCTCTACACCCGCCCCATCTCTACACCCATCCCATCTCTACACCTACCCCATCTCAACGTCCGCCCCATCTCTACACCCGCCCAATCTCTACACCCGCCCCATCTCAACTTCCACCCAATCTCTACACCCGCCCAATCTCTACACCTACCCCATCTCAACTTCCACCCCATCTCTACACCCACCCCATCTCAGCTTCCACCCCATCTCAACTTCCACCCCATCTCTACACCCACCCCATCCCTACACCCATCCCATCTCAACTTCCACCCCATCTCTACACCCATCCCATCTCTACACCCATTCCATATCAACTTCCACCCCATCTCTACACCCACCCCATCTCTACACCCACCCCATCTCAACTTCCACCCCGACTCTACACACACCCAATCTCTACACCCACCCCATCTCAACTTCCACCTCATCTCAACTTCCACCCCATCTCTACACCCATCCCATCTTAACTTCCACCCCATCTCTACACCCATCCCATGTCTACACCCATCCCATATCAACTTCCACCCCATCTCTACACCCACCCCATCTCTACACCCACCCCATCTCAACTTCCACCCCATCTCTACACCCACCCCATCTCTACACCCATCCCATCTCAACTTCCACCCCATCTCTACACCCACCCCATCTCTACACCCGCCCCATCCCTACACCTACCCCATCTCAACTTCCACCCCATCTCTACACCCATCCCATCTCTACACCTACCCCATCTCAACGTCCACCCCATCTCTACACCTACCCCATCTCAACGTCCACCCCATCTCTACACCGGCCCAATCTCTACACCCGCCCCATCTCAACTTCCACCCAATCTCTACACCCGCCCAATCTCTACACCCACCCCATTTCAACTTCCACGCCATCTCTACACCCGCCCAATCTCTACACCCGCCCCATCTCTACACCCATCCCATCTCTACACCTACCCCATCTCAACGTCCACCCCATCTCTACACCCGCCCAATCTCTACACCCGCCCCATCTCAACTTCCACCCAATCTCTACACCCGCCCAATCTCTACACCCGCCCCATCTCAACTTCCACCCAATCTCTACAACCACCCCATCTCTACACCCACCCCATCTCTACACATTCCCCATCTCAATTTCCACCCAATCTCTACACCCACCCCATCTCTACACCCACCCCATCTCTACACCCACCCCATCCCTACACCTACCCCATCTCTACACCCACCCCATCTCTACATCCCCCCCATCTCTACACCCACCCCATCTCTACACCCACCCCATCTCTACACCTACCCCATCTCAACTTCCACCCAATGTCTACACCCACCCCATCCCAATTATGTTTCTAGGTTTGTAAGCACCATACCCGTGCTCGTGGGTTACACCGAAGTGGTAAACGTCTGAGACCTGCATCACTTCGGGCTTTCCTCCCACATTAAGCTGACACGCCGTGATATAACTGGAATAATGTTAAAAGCGGCGTTAAACCCAACTCACTCACTTACTCACTCATCACAAAGACCAAACGAATTCAGACGCAAACTTTACCATGCTCAACATAGATAAGAAATATATCACAAATGGTGTTCTGAGATTCATCGCAGAAGGTGTGTTTCTGTGTCGTATACATGATAGCATGAACATCGTACTTAAACCAGGTTTTGTATCATTATATACTGAGTTGCTTTCCTTTCTTATTACATCGGACATATATGAAACCGTACGTTACTTTATTCCAGGCGACAGTCTCGTTGACAGTGTATATTGCACCATCCAATGTAAACTCATAATCACAAATATAAATATACCTACTTGAGTATGTTGAAACTACTCAGATGCGTCATTTATGCATAAACTACTTTAATGGATTTCAATGATTATGTATAAGATACAGGTACGGTTTTAGATCACATTCAATGTTGGAATATTTATATCTTGTGACCCCAATGTATTTAAAGGTATATTCTCTGCACCAACCCCATCTGTAAACCGCTCAATCTTTACACACAACCCATCTCTACACCTTGTCCCGTCTCCACGTACCTCTATCTCTCCACAACTCCTTATATACATCTCCATCTCTCCACTACTCCTTATATACATCTCTATCTCTCCACAACTCCTTATATACACTTCCATCTCTCCACAACTCCTTATATACATCTCAATCTCTACACCTTGCCCCGTCTCCACGTATCTCCATCTCTACACCTTGTCCCGTCTCCACGTACCTCTATCTCTCCACAACTCCTTATATACACCTCTATCTCTCCACAACTCCTTATATACATCTCCATCTCTACACAACTCCTTATATACATCTCCATCTCTACACAACTCCTTATATACATCTCCATCTCTACACAACTCCTTATATACATCTCCATCTCTACACCTTGCCCCGTCTCCACGTATCTCCATCTCTACACCTTGTCCCGTCTCCACGTACCTCTATCTCTCCACAACTCCTTATATACACCTCTATCTCTCCACAACTCCTTTTATACATCTCCATCTCTACACAACTCCTTATATACATCTCCATCTCTACACAACTCCTTATATACATCTCCATCTCTACACAACTCCTTATATACATCTCCATCTCTACACCTTGCCCCGTCTCCACGTATCTCCATCTCTACACCTTGTCCCGTCTCCACGTACCTCTATCTCTCCACAACTCCTTATATACACCTCTATCTCTCCACAACTCCTTATATACATCTCCATCTCTACACAACTCCTTATATACATCTCCATCTCTACACAACTCCTTATATACATCTCCATCTCTACACAACTCCTTATATACATCTCCATCTCTACACCTTGCCCCGTCTCCACGTATCTCCATCTCTACACCTTGTCCCGTCTCCACGTACCTCTATCTCTCCACAACTCCTTATATACACCTCTATCTCTCCACAACTCCTTATATACATCTCCATCTCTACACAACTCCTTATATACATCTCCATCTCTACACAACTCCTTATATACATCTCCATCTCTACACAACGCCTTATATACATCTCCATCTCTACACAACTCCTTATATACACCTCCATCTCTACACAACTCCTTATATACACCTCCATCTCTCCACAACTCCTTATATACACCTCCATCTCTACACAACTCCTTATATACATCTCCATCTCTACACAACTCCTTATATACATCTCCATCTCTACACAACTCCTTATATACATCTCCATCTCTACACCTTGCCCCGTCTCCACGTATCTCCATCTCTACACCTTGCCCCGTCTCCACGTACCTCTATCTCTCCACAACTCCTTATATACATCTCCATCTCTCCACTACTCCTTATATACATCTCTATCTCTCCACAACTCCTTATATACACCTCCATCTCTCCACAACTCCTTATATACATCTCTATCTCTACACCTTGCCCCGTCTCCACGTATCTCCATCTCTCCACAACTCCTTATATACACCTCCATCTCTACACCTTGCCTCGTCTCCACGTATCTCCATCTCTCCACAACTCCTTGTATACATCTCCATCTCTACACATCTCCTTGTATACATCTCCATCTCTACACCTTGCCCCGTCTCCACGTATCTCCATCTCTCCACAACTCCTTATATACACCTCCATCTCTACACCTTGCCTCGTCTCCACGTATCTCCATCTCTCCACAACTCCTTATATACACCTCCATCTCTACACCTTGCCCCGTCTCCACGTATCTCCATCTCTACACCTTGCCCCGTCTCCACGTATCTCTATCTCTACGCAACTCCTTATATACACCTCTATCTCTCCACAACTCCTTATATACATCTCCATCTCTTCACAACTCCTTATATACACCTCCATCTCTACACAACTCCTTATATACACCTCCATCTCTACACCTTGCCCCGTCTCCACGTATCTCCATCTCTCCACAACTCCTTATATACACCTCCATCTCTCCACAACTCCTTATATACACCTCCATCTCTACACAACTCCTTATATACACCTCCATCTCTACACCTTGCCCCGTCTCCACGTATCTCCATCTCTCCACAACTCCTTATATACATCTCCATCTCTACACCCCTATTGAACTGGCTACATGACTTCTGGAACTATCCTGAGAAGCATAGAGGGAAGACTGACAAATGTTCAACAGGAAAGTCCTGATCATTCTTTATGGTAATTCATAATTAAGTCACTTGATTGTCAGGTTTGTGTACAGGCCGCCGTTGCATGTCAAGTATACTGCTGTGCGGGGTCAGGTAATAAATACTATTTTATGCACATTATGTGAATAGCGGGAGCTACCGGTAGGGCAGGACATGATGACCCTTTTCGAGAACACTCGTTGTCATCAGTGATCTTCAGTGGTCCATTCATAGTATTTTCACAGCTATTTTACCCTTTACGCAAAATGGAATATGTTTCGTTGGACAAACAAGACTCTTTACTCTCTTGTATTGACATTTATATTTATCAAATGAAAGTACAAACGCATTTATAGATAGTGTATGGAGCGAGATGAAACCACACATATAAACAAAGCTAATCAACAACAATGAATGCTGTTCTCTGAGCGTCAAGACAAACAGTAACATTTCCTTTCGACCAATGAAATTTAACAAAATCATTTAAAACGTTATGAACAGTATTGGACTGGAATTCATTTTTCCTTCTTTGTTTTATATGGTATATTTACTGAAGGAAACATAGACGTAAATGACACCCTCCTCTTGCTGAATATGTATAGATAGGAGCTATTGAGCTATATTCCATTAAATTTTGGAAAATGTCAGTTAGCTGCATTTGTAAAACAATATCAACAATATACAATACAATAACACCTAGGTCGTTATAAGATGTTTATTTTCCATTTAGAGACAATGTTTTTGCTACTCTGCAAATACGCGAGGTAAATATGTCAGGCCAATGTGAAATTCAAGTCAGAATAGTTTTCTTAACTTATTGCAAAATGTAAGCGCAAAGATTGTTGCTACGTTGGGTTTTTGTTACTGGGTCAGTGAGAAATCTTAAATCCTCATTTAAACACCAAGAATGCACAACATCTCTTTATCATACCGCCATGTCTGAATGATGAGATCTGATTGGTTCACATGATCTAAAATACGATGTATCCAGGCTTGGAGAGAAATAAAATTCTCACCGGGAGAATGTATCCCTTATACTCCGGCACGAAGAAAACAGGTTGCACCTGGATTTTCTCAGCGGGAGAATAAATCCCTTATACCCCGCTTCGAAGCAATTAGCCGCATGCTTTTTCCGAGTCAATGAAAGTCACGTGACATATCAGCTCACTCAAACAACTGTTTTCTATTAATTTGGAATCTGTTTTAACTCTCTTACAACGTCATATTAAAACATGTCGGTAATAGAAATTCGTTGAAGCAGTATCACTCGGGGAAAAAGTGTTTTTATGCGCCCGGCTGTCCAAAGCGTCTTGCTATAGATTCAGCATCAGCCGATGTTATCACGATAGTCACTGAAGTAGAGAGGATTTTATTTCCCTTCTTTTGCGTGTCTTTTTATCCAGATATAATTTAATCTTTAACAATTCAAATGTAATTTGTATTTCACAAAAGAATATTTTACATATATAGAATATTCAGAAAGATAATCCAAAAAATCGTCGATATATCGGTGTTTCTCTAAGCACTACTACTCCTTGAAATATAAAGCTGATGCTGTCCGCCCATCAACAACATACGTAGAATACGGTAGTTCGGCCAGGCCTGTCAGTCTCACTCTCCACGTGGCATGTCGGGATACCCCCGTCGTCTGAAAGTATTAAAAGTAAAAAGTAGTACTTAAGTTAGAGCAAGTGGAGGCTTCCAGAAGCGAGTATTTTGCAGTGCTCTGAATTCTAGGTAATGCATGGTTATGACTGTAAGCGATTTCCTTTATCTTACCTTATATAGGATGTGGCTTATATTACCAACTGTCAGTTCTTACCCCTCCTGTTATACAGTATGGCTGACATTGCCTTCTCTCTGTTATCCTCTTATTCGCTATTGAAGATGCGGCTGAAAGTATCAACTGACTGCGTTCATTTTTCTGGGTTTTTTCTCAGTACCTGCTATATATGAGCCTCGTGCTTCTTTCCATGGACTGTATCCTCCACATCCAGTGAGGGTGAAGCCGTCGGGACACGTCGCCTTCAGCAGTCCGCTCACAGGTTGAGGCTTTGCAGAGTGTACGCTACACGAGAGATCCGGAGCCCTGCAGCAGGTGGCATAGGAATATACGCCTGCAATAAGAACACACTCCTGCAATGACATTGTAATTGTTTCTGAATTATAGTCATTGGTCATGGTCACATAATTATGGTAACTTCATAACATTTCATAGGGAATGTATATATTTCTACAATCGTGACATACCAGCTGCTCCAAACTACAAATATAAGCTAATTTAGTGACACAATGTTTGTGATTCCGTGTGACATTACTAGTCACATGTTCTCTTTATCATATGGCCCGTGGGGATTCGTTGTAGTATATGCCCTCAGCACCACAATCAATTTAACGCCGCACTATGTAAATAATCGAGTCTGGACCAGACAATTCTAGTGATTGACATCATGAACATCGATCCATGCAACTGGGATACAATGACATGCATCAACCAAGTCAGTGAGCAACCCTTACTTCAAGCATGGGCTGCTGAAGACCTATTCTACCCCGGATCTTCTCGGGTCCACAGTCGCAAGAGGCGACTAAGTTGTGAACGTGTGATTCCGGGCCCCAAGCAGCCTATGCTTAATGGACCGTATTGTCGATTAAGTAAATGCTGTCGTCATATAGCACGAATATTGACGATTGCGGCGTTAAACAAACACACACGCACGCACACACGCACGGACGGACGGAAACACGCAAACACTTAGAAACACGCGTGTTGCTTTTTTACCTGTAACTGAGAAACCCCCGGCGTATGCACGGCAGTAACTGGGGTTGATCTCTACGCCATCCAGATAACCATTAGGCTGATGCACACCACATCCTGATAAAAACAGGCATGGTCGATAGTTCTTTAGCGTAGTGGACATAGTACATAAGGCATACTTAATTAGGAAACCAGATTGACATGAGAGGGTTTGAGTGTGTGGTGGATATGGTGCGGAATACACAATCGTCCTCCAGATAGTAGACACAGCCCGTGTGATCAATGTCAGGTTTGGTGTTGTTGAAGGGTTAATGTGTGTGGTGCGTATCTCTCAACCAAAGCGCAAATGAAGTTTTTCCTTCCGGTTATGTTTCCATAAATCTAATCTAAAATAGGCCACGCCCACTGGCGAACTACTGTTTCCTTATTGGCTGAACATTGTGTGGGAGGGGCTTGTTATGCGTTACTGCACTGAACAATGTCACTAGTTTCGCTTCGTTGTCTGCGGCCTCTTGTGTTAATGATTAAGTAAGGAGTCTGAAAAAGTTATTATTGCTGGCGTATTTATTTATTAGATTGAACTTAAATACCGCGTTGTGTTAACGGAGGTATTACACTTCAATAAACGCAAATAAATATTGAAGTAAGTTTGTTCAATGGATCGGAAATATACTTCCATACATCGTACCCATGACTTGAAAGGACTTGAAACATTCCGACTGAACATGTGCATCATTGATGTTCTTAGATGGTCCATCAGTGAGGTATTCACACTGTAGTCCGTCCTGTTTACAGCATCTAGCAGAGGCGTACTGTGCTGAGGCGCCAGCTATTCAGACATAAACATACAAATGCCATCATAGAATGGAAAACTTAAACTAGACAGGCTGGTGTTATTACCATTTGGACATTTCTCATAAAAAAATGTTTTAAAAATTAACATGAGAACATCATACTGGGAAACATCGAAATGGGCAAGACAAGCTTTTTATTCACTTTAACGTAAAAGGATATTGCACTCATGTGTAGAATGTAATCTTATATTAAGACATGTTTAAGAAACACAGAAACAAATTTATGTTCTCAGTCTTTGTAGTGTTTAACATATTCACCAATGACTGGTTATTAGTTATCTTGGCAGGGGGTGAATATTTCGTTTTTAGTAGTGTGTACTTGTCACAAATGAATATGACAGGACACTCATCTCAAACAACTCCAATGTTACAATTTGTACATAATTAACTTTAATAGTTCATATGGTTTTATCATAAGTATTCGAAACCTGCCACATTTAAGACTTACTTGTGCTCGTTATGTCAATTTGGCAGAAAGGAGTGCCCTTGACCATGACTATTTTGACGCCGTTGACTTTGCCACTTGAAGACTGTAAATATAGCAGTGTTGACGAGGTGAACCCGCTTGCATGACATGATGCTCTGTTTGCGTGCTTGCGTGGAAGACGTATACAAGTATGAAGTCGTTTTAGTCAAACTAACTATTTCGATACTCTAAAGTGAGCCTTCGAGTGATGTTGATTAAATACAGTCAGCTATAACGCCAAGGAACGGTCTTTGTAAGAATGTCGATTTTGGCCAGAATTAAAAGCAGTAGTTATAACGACGTAAAACACACGGTAGTACCGCAGATTTTGAGGAGCAGCCTATCAGCATCTCATCAGCCTCACAGGACACCGACACCAGACTGCCGGCCGGGGACATCCTGTCAGTACACGTCAACTTCGCCGGACCAGCAGACAGCGTCTTCGTCGTGATCCAGTTGGGGATGACTGCAACCAAAGATAGGTCATTCACAGATACTGTCAGCGATAGGTGTGTTGATGACGCAAGGACACTCATTGGCCCTGTGCATGTAGTTAATTATGACGTCGATCCCCGTGAAGATCCGGATAAGAATTAGTCTATGATTGTTGTAAGTGGCTATAGAGGCACGGGATAAGGTGGTCATGGACATGATGAGGCGGTCATGCTATGATATCAATCACTGGATTACCTAGACCAGACCGACATACAGACTGCCGTCATACAGCTGGAATATTGTTGAGTGCATGAAACTAAGACATATATGTCAGGTCGAGGCGTTAGAACTAAACCTTGGTATACTGTTAATGACACGACTTTAGGGTCCGACCATCGGTGTCAGGTATTTAAACGCCCTAAATATGATACAGATAAAGATGAAACCGATAAAGATGATACAAATAAAGAAGATAAAGGTGATAAAGATAAAGATGTTGAAGATAAAGAAGTTGAAGACAGATGATAAAGAAAAAAATTATAAAGATAAAGATGTTATTGATAAAGTTGTTGAAGATAAAGATGATAAAAAATAGACGATGAAGTGAGATGAAGAGATAATTCTGGATAACTTTTCCACCTTCTAATATGAGTTAGAAAAGATAGGTGTTGTTTTTTTCAACGAAACCCTCATTTATGCAATCCTTCAAGTGAACTGGAGGTTTGCAATGACATCACCATATGGAAAATGTACCTCGACAGTCCAACGATGTTGATGACCACTGTCCGTTCGCCTGACAGGTGATGGTGTCGTCCCCGCCATGGTTCCTGTAGCCAGCAGAACACGTGAAGGTCACCGTCGTGTTGAATGTGGTGGTCATCTGGACGCTGGGCTCTGTGTTGTTTCTTGCGACAGGAATCCCACAATCCACCGCTAACACAAGTTTAATGTTATGATCGTACCGTAGTTGTAATACATCAGTATGGTTAAAGATAGAGATGATAAAAATAAAGACGATAAAGTTAAGGGTGATAAAGATTAAGAAAATAAAGCGGGGGGTGATAAAGACAAAGATGACAAATAAACATGATAAAATGATAAAAATAGAGATCATAAAGATAAAGATGAAATGATTTTACAGATGAAGAAGATATAGGCATAAAAGATAAAGAAGATAAAGCTAATGATGATAAAAATAAAGAAGATAAAACTAAAGATGATAAATATAAAGAACATAAAGCTAAGGGTGATGAGATAAAGAAGATAAAGCTAAGGATGATAAAGACAAAGAAGATAAAGCTAATGATGATAAAGATAAAGAAGATAATGCTAAGGATGATAAAAATAAAGAAGAGAAAGCTAAGGATGATAAATATAAAGATGATAAAGTTAAGGGTGATGAGATAAAGAAGATAAAGCTAAGGATGATAAAGACAAAGAAGATAAAGCTAATGATGATAAAGATAAAGAAGATAATGCTAAGGATGATAAAAATAAAGACGATAAAGCTAAGGTCGATAAGATTAAGAAGATAAACCTAAAGATGATAAATATAAAGAAGATAAAGCTAAGGGTGATGAGATAAAGAAGATAAAGCTAAGGATGATAAAGATAAAGAAGATAATGCTAAGGATGATAAAAATAAAGAAGATAAACCTAAAGATGATAAATATAAAGAAGATAAAGCTAAGGGGGATGAGATAAAGAAGATAAAGCTAAGGATGATAAAGACAAAGAAGATAAAGCTAATGATGATAAAGATAAAGAAGATAATGCTAAGGATTATAAAAATAAAGAAGATAAACCTAAAGATGATAAATATAAAGAAGATGAAGCTAAGGGGGATGAGATAAAGACGATAAAGCTAAGGATGATAAAGATAAGAAGATAAAGCTAAGGATGATAAAGATAAAGACGATAAAGCTAAGGATGATAAAGATAAGAAGAGAAAGCTAAGGATGATAAAGATAAGAAGATAAAGCTAATGATGATAAAGATAAAGAAGAAAAAGCTAAGGATGATACAGATAACAAGATAAAGCTAAGGGTGATAAAGATTAAGAAAATAAAGCGAAGGGTGAAAAAGACAAAGATAACCCATAAAAACAAGATAAAATGATAAAGATAGAGATCATAAAGATAAAGATGAAATGATTTTACAGATAAAAAAGATGTAGGCATCAAAGATCAAGATGATAAAGATAACTAAGATCAAGCTAGGGATGATGAAGATAAAAAAGATCAAGCTAAGGATGATGAAGATAAAAAAGATAAAGCTAGGGATGATGAAGATAAAGAAGATAAAGCTAAGGATGGTGGATAACGAAGATAAAGCTAAGGATGGTGAAGATAAAAACGATGTAGATAAAGATCAAGAGGCTGAGGAAGATGAAGATGATAAATATAAAATGATCAGGCAAATATCTTAAAGATAAAGATGACAACGATAAAGATGATGAATTCATATAAAGAGATAATTCTGTATAACTTATCCGCTAAAATGAGTTAGAAAAGATAGGTGTTGTTTCTTTCAACGAAACCCTCATTTTATGCAATCCTTCAACGGATCTGGAGGTTTGCAATGACACCACTATATGGAAAATGTACCTTGGCAGTCCAACGATGTTGATGACCACTGTCCGTTCGCCTGACAGGTGATGGTGTCGTCCCCGCCATGGTTCCTGTAGCCAGGAGAACACGTGAAGGTCACCGTCGTGTTGAATGTGGTGGTCATCTGGACGCTGGGCTCTGTGTTGTTTCTTGCGGCAGGAATCCTACAATCCACCGCTAAAAAAAGTTTAATGTTATGATCGTACCGTAGTTGTAATACATCAGTATGGTTAAAGATAGAGATGATAAAAATAAAGACGATAAAGTTAAGGGTGATAAAGATTAAGAAAAAAAGCGGAGGGTGATAAAGACAAAGATGACAAATAAACAAGATAAGATGATAAAAATAGAGATCATAAAGATAAAAGGTAATGATTTTACAGATAAAGAAGATAAAGATAAAGATGATAAAGATAAATAAGATAAAGATAAAGATAATAAAGATAAAGAAAATAAAGCTAGGGATGATAAAGATAAGGAAGATAAAGCTAATAATGATCAAAATAAAGAAGATAAAGCTAAGGATAATAAAGATAAAGAAGATAAAGATAAGGGTGATGAGATAAAGAAGATAAAGCCAAGGATTATAAGGATAAGAAGATAACGCTTAGGATGATAAATATAAAGAAGAGAAAGCTAAGGGTGATGAGATAAAGAAGATAAAGCTAAGGATTATAAAGATAAGAAGATAACGCTTAGGATGATAAATATGAAGAAGAGAAAGCTAAGGATGATAAAGATAAAGAAGATAAAGCTCAGGATGATGAAGATAAGAAGATAATGCTAAGAATGATAAAGACAAAGGAGAGAAGCTAAGGATGATATAAATTAAATAAGATATCGCTAATGGTGGTAAAGACAAAGAAGAGAAAGCTAAGGATGATAAAAATAAAGATAACGCTAAGGATGATAAAGATAAACAAGAAAAGGCTATGGATGATACAGATTACAAGATAAAGCTAAGGGTGATAAAGATTAAGAAAATAAAGCGAAGGGGGAAAAAGACAAAGATGACAAAAAAAACAAGATATAATAATAAAGATAGAGATCATAAAGATAAAGATGAAATGATTCTACAGATAAAAAAGATATAGGCATCAAAGATCAAGATGATAAAGATAACTAAGATAAAGCTAGGAATGATGAAGATAAAAAAGATCAAGCTAAGGATGATGAAGATAAAAAAGATAAAGCTAGGGATGATGAAGATAAAGAAGATGAAGCTATGGATGGTGGATAACAAAGATAAAGCTAAGGATGGTGAAGATAAAAACGATGTAGATAAAGATCAAGAGGCTGAGGAAGATGAAGATGATAAATATAAAATGATCAGGTAAATATCTTAAAGATAAAGATAACAACGATAAAGATGATGAATTCATATAAAGAGATAATTCTGTATAACTTATCCGCCTGCTAAAATGAGTTAGAAAAGATAGGTGTTGTTTCTTTCAACGAAACCCTCATTTTATGCAATCCTTCAACGGATCTGGAGGTTTGCAATGACACCACTATATGGAAAATGTACCTTGGCAGTCCAACGATGTTGATGACCACTGTCCGTTCGCCTGACAGGTGATGGTGTCGTCCCCGCCATGGTTCCTGTAGCCAGCAGAACACGTGAAGGTCACCGTCGTGTTGAATGTGGTGGTCATCTGGACGCTGGGCTCTGTGTTGTTTCTTGCGGCAGGAATCCTACAATCCTCCGCTAAAAAAAGTTTAATGTTATGATCGTACCGTAGTTGTAATACATCAGTATGGTTAAAGATAGAGATGATAAAAATAAAGACGATAAAGTTAAGGGTGATAAAGATTAAGAAAAAAAGCGGAGGGTGATAAGGACAAAGATGACAAATAAACAAGATAAGATGATAAAAATAGAGATCATAAAGATAAAAGGTAATGATTTTACAGATAAAGAAGATATAGGCATAAAAGATAAAGAAGATAAAGCTAATGATGATAAAAATAAAGAAGATAAAACTAAAGATGATAAATATAAAGAACATAAAGCTAAGGGTGATGAGATAGGAAGATAAAGCTAAGGATGATAAAGACAAAGAAGATAAAGCTAATGATGATAAAGATAAAGAAGATAATGCTAAGGATGATAAAAATAAAGACGATAAAGCTAAGGTCGATAAGATTAAGAAGATAAACCTAAAGATGATAAATATAAAGAAGATAAAGCTAAGGGTGATGAGATAAAGAAGATAAAGCTAAGGATGATAAAGACAAAGAAGATAAAGCTAATGATGATAAAGATAAAGAAGATAATGCTAAGGATGATAAAAATAAAGAAGATAAACCTAAAGATGATAAATATAAAGAAGATAAAGCTAAGGGGGATGAGATAAAGACGATAAAGCTAAGGATGATAAAGATAAGAAGATATCGCTAATGATGGTAAAGACAAAGAAGAGAAAGCTAAGGATGATAAAGATAAAGAAGAAAAAGCTAAGGATGATACAGATAACAAGATAAAGCTAAGGGTGATAAAGATTAAGAAAATAAAGCGAAGGGTGAAAAAGACAAAGATGACCCAAAAAAAACAAGATAAAATGATAAAGATAGAGATCATAAAGATAAAGATGAAATGATTTTACAGATAAAAAAGATGTAGGCATCAAAGATCAAGATGATAAAGATAACTAAGATCAAGCTAGGGATGATGAAGATAAAAAAGATCAAGCTAAGGATGATGAAGATAAAAAAGATAAAGCTAGGGATGATGAAGATAAAGAAGATAAAGCTAAGGATGGTGGCTAACGAAGATAAAGCTAAGGATGGTGAAGATAAAAACGATGTAGATAAAGATCAAGAGGCTGAGGAAGATGAAGATGATAAATATAAAATGATCAGGTAAATATCTTAAAGATAAAGATGACAACGATAAAGATGATGAATTCATATAAAGAGATAATTCTGTATAACTTATCCGCCTGCTAAAATGAGTTAGAAAAGATAGGTGTTGTTTCTTTCAACGAAACCCTCATTTTATGCAATCCTTCAACGGATCTGGAGGTTTGCAATGACACCACTATATGGAAAATGTACCTTGGCAGTCCAACGATGTTGATGACCACTGTCCGTTCGCCTGACAGGTGATGGTGTCGTCCCCGCCATGGTTCCTGTAGCCAGGAGAACACGTGAAGGTCACCGTCGTGTTGAATGTGGTGGTCATCTGGACGCTGGGCTCTGTGTTGTTTCTTGCGGCAGGAATCCCACAATCCACCGCTAAAAAAAGTTTAATGTTATGATCGTACCGTAGTTGTAATACATCAGTATGGTTAAAGATAGAGATGATAAAAATAAAGACGATAAAGTTAAGGGTGATAAAGATTAAGAAAAAAAGCGGAGGGTGATAAAGACAAAGATGACAAATAAACAAGATAAGATGATAAAAATAGAGATCATAAAGATAAAAGGTAATGATTTTACAGATAAAGAAGATAAAGATAAAGATGATAAAGATAAATAAGATAAAGATAAAGATAATAAAGATAAAGAAAATAAAGCTAGGGATGATAAAGATAAGGAAGATAAAGCTAATAATGATCAAAATAAAGAAGATAAAGCTAAGGATAATAAAGATAAAGAAGATAAAGATAAGGGTGATGAGATAAAGAAGATAAAGCCAAGGATTATAAAGATAAGAAGATAACGCTTAGGATGATAAATATAAAGAAGAGAAAGCTAAGGGTGATGAGATAAAGAAGATAAAGCTAAGGATTATAAAGATAAGAAGATAACGCTTAGGATGATAAATATGAAGAAGAGAAAGCTAAGGATGATAAAGATAAAGAAGATAAAGCTAAGGATGATGAAGATAAGAAGATAATGCTAAGAATGATAAAGACAAAGGAGAGAAGCTAAGGATGATAAAATTAAATAAGATATCGCTAATGGTGGTAAAGACAAAGAAGAGAAAGCTAATGATGATAAAAATAAAGATAACGCTAAGGATGATAAAGATAAACAAGAAAAGGCTATGGATGATACAGATTACAAGATAAAGCTAAGGGTGATAAAGATTAAGAAAATAAAGCGAAGGGGGAAAAAGACAAAGATGACCAAAAAAACAAGATATAATAATAAAGATAGAGATCATAAAGATAAAGATGAAATGATTCTACAGATAAAAAAGATATAGGCATCAAAGATCAAGATGATAAAGATAACTAAGATAAAGCTAGGAATGATGAAGATAAAAAAGATCAAGCTAAGGATGATGAAGATAAAAAAGATAAAGCTAAGGATGGTGGATAACAAAGATAAAGCTAAGGATGGTGAAGATAAAAACGATGTAGATAAAGATCAAGAGGCTGAGGAAGATGAAGATGATAAATATAAAATGATCAGGTAAATATCTTAAAGATAAAGATAACAACGATAAAGATGATGAATTCATATAAAGAGATAATTCTGGATAACTTATCCGCCTGCTAAAATGAGTTAGAAAAGATAGGTGTTGTTTCTTTCAACGAAACCCTCATTTTATGCAATCCTTCAACGGATCTGGAGGTTTGCAATGACACCACTATATGGAAAATGTACCTTGGCAGTCCAACGATGTTGATGACCACTGTCCGTTCGCCTGACAGGTGATGGTGTCGTCCCCGCCATGGTTCCTGTAGCCAGCAGAACACGTGAAGGTCACCGTCGTGTTGAATGTGGTGGTCATCTGGACGCTGGGCTCTGTGTTGTTTCTTGCGGCAGGAATCCTACAATCCTCCGCTAAAAAAAGTTTAATGTTATGATCGTACCGTAGTTGTAATACATCAGTATGGTTAAAGATAGAGATGATAAAAATAAAGACGATAAAGTTAAGGGTGATAAAGATTAAGAAAAAAAGCGGAGGGTGATAAGGACAAAGATGACAAATAAACAAGATAAGATGATAAAAATAGAGATCATAAAGATAAAAGGTAATGATTTTACAGATAAAGAAGATATAGGCATAAAAGATAAAGAAGATAAAGCTAATGATGATAAAAATAAAGAAGATAAAACTAAAGATGATAAATATAAAGAACATAAAGCTAAGGGTGATGAGATAGGAAGATAAAGCTAAGGATGATAAAGACAAAGAAGATAAAGCTAATGATGATAAAGATAAAGAAGATAATGCTAAGGATGATAAAAATAAAGACGATAAAGCTAAGGTCGATAAGATTAAGAAGATAAACCTAAAGATGATAAATATAAAGAAGATAAAGCTAAGGGTGATGAGATAAAGAAGATAAAGCTAAGGATGATAAAGACAAAGAAGATAAAGCTAATGATGATAAAGATAAAGAAGATAATGCTAAGGATGATAAAAATAAAGAAGATAAACCTAAAGATGATAAATATAAAGAAGATAAAGCTAAGGGGGATGAGATAAAGACGATAAAGCTAAGGATGATAAAGATAAGAAGATATCGCTAATGATGGTAAAGACAAAGAAGAGAAAGCTAAGGATGATAAAGATAAAGAAGATAAAGCTAAGGATGATACAGATAACAAGATAAAGCTAAGGGTGATAAAGATTAAGAAAATAAAGCGAAGGGTGAAAAAGACAAAGATGACCCAAAAAAAAACAAGATAAAATGATAAAGATAGAGATCATAAAGATAAAGATGAAATGATTTTACAGATAAAAAAGATGTAGGCATCAAAGATCAAGATGATAAAGATAACTAAGATCAAGCTAGGGATGATGAAGATAAAAAAGATCAAGCTAAGGATGATGAAGATAAAAAAGATAAAGCTAGGGATGATGAAGATAAAGAAGATAAAGCTAAGGATGGTGGCTAACGAAGATAAAGCTAAGGATGGTGAAGATAAAAACGATGTAGATAAAGATCAAGAGGCTGAGGAAGATGAAGATGATAAATATAAAATGATCAGGTAAATATCTTAAAGATAAAGATGACAACGATAAAGATGATGAATTCATATAAAGAGATAATTCTGTATAACTTATCCGCCTGCTAAAATGAGTTAGAAAAGATAGGTGTTGTTTCTTTCAACGAAACCCTCATTTTATGCAATCCTTCAACGGATCTGGAGGTTTGCAATGACACCACTATATGGAAAATGTACCTTGGCAGTCCAACGATGTTGATGACCACTGTCCGTTCGCCTGACAGGTGATGGTGTCGTCCCCGCCATGGTTCCTGTAGCCAGGAGAACACGTGAAGGTCACCGTCGTGTTGAATGTGGTGGTCATCTGGACGCTGGGCTCTGTGTTGTTTCTTGCGGCAGGAATCCCACAATCCACCGCTAAAAAAAGTTTAATGTTATGATCGTACCGTAGTTGTAATACATCAGTATGGTTAAAGATAGAGATGATAAAAATAAAGACGATAAAGTTAAGGGTGATAAAGATTAAGAAAAAAAGCGGAGGGTGATAAAGACAAAGATGACAAATAAACAAGATAAGATGATAAAAATAGAGATCATAAAGATAAAAGGTAATGATTTTACAGATAAAGAAGATAAAGATAAAGATGATAAAGATAAATAAGATAAAGATAAAGATAATAAAGATAAAGAAAATAAAGCTAGGGATGATAAAGATAAGGAAGATAAAGCTAATAATGATCAAAATAAAGAAGATAAAGCTAAGGATAATAAAGATAAAGAAGATAAAGATAAGGGTGATGAGATAAAGAAGATAAAGCCAAGGATTATAAAGATAAGAAGATAACGCTTAGGATGATAAATATAAAGAAGAGAAAGCTAAGGGTGATGAGATAAAGAAGATAAAGCTAAGGATTATAAAGATAAGAAGATAACGCTTAGGATGATAAATATGAAGAAGAGAAAGCTAAGGATGATAAAGATAAAGAAGATAAAGCTAAGGATGATGAAGATAAGAAGATAATGCTAAGAATGATAAAGACAAAGGAGAGAAGCTAAGGATGATAAAATTAAATAAGATATCGCTAATGGTGGTAAAGACAAAGAAGAGAAAGCTAAGGATGATAAAAATAAAGATAACGCTAAGGATGATAAAGATAAACAAGAAAAGGCTATGGATGATACAAATTACAAGATAAAGCTAAGGGTGATAAAGATTAAGAAAATAAAGCGAAGGGGGAAAAAGACAAAGATGACAAAAAAAACAAGATATAATAATAAAGATAGAGATCATAAAGATAAAGATGAAATGATTCTACAGATAAAAAAGATATAGGCATCAAAGATCAAGATGATAAAGATAACTAAGATAAAGCTAGGAATGATGAAGATAAAAAAGATCAAGCTAAGGATGATGAAGATAAAAAAGATAAAGCTAGGGATGATGAAGATAAAGAAGATGAAGCTAAGGATGGTGGATAACAAAGATAAAGCTAAGGATGGTGAAGATAAAAACGATGTAGATAAAGATCAAGAGGCTGAGGAAGATAAAGATGATAAATATAAAATGATCAGGTAAATATCTTAAAGATAAAGATGACAACGATAAAGATGATGAATTCATATAAAGAGATAATTCTGTATAACTTATCCGCCTGCTAAAATGAGTTAGAAAAGATAGGTGTTGTTTCTTTCAACGAAACCCTCATTTTATGCAATCCTTCAACGGATCTGGAGGTTTGCAATGACATCACTATATGGAAAATGTACCTTGGCAGTCCAACGATGTTGATGACCACTGTCCGTTCGCCTGACAGGTGATGGTGTCGTCCCCGCCATGGTTCCTGTAGCCAGGAGAACACGTGAAGGTCACCGTCGTGTTGAATGTGGTGGTCATCTGGACGCTGGGCTCTGTGTTGTTTCTTGCGGCAGGAATCCTACAAACCACCGCTAAAAAAAGTTTAATGTTATGATCGTACCGTAGTTGTAATACATCAGTATGGTTAAAGATAGAGATGATAAAAATAAAGACGATAAAGTTAAGGGTGATAAAGATTAAGAAAAAAAGCGGAGGGTGATAAAGACAAAGATGACAAATAAACAAGATAAGATGATAAAAATAGAGATCATAAAGATAAAAGGTAATGATTTTACAGATAAAGAAGATAAAGATAAAGATGATAAAGATAAATAAGATAAAGATAAAGATAATAAAGATAAAGAAAATAAAGCTAGGGATGATAAAGATAAGGAAGATAAAGCTAATAATGATCAAAATAAAGAAGATAAAGCTAAGGATAATAAAGATAAAGAAGATAAAGATAAGGGTGATGAGATAAAGAAGATAAAGCCAAGGATTATAAAGATAAGAAGATAACGCTTAGGATGATAAATATAAAGAAGAGAAAGCTAAGGGTGATGAGATAAAGAAGATAAAGCTAAGGATTATAAAGATAAGAAGATAACGCTTAGGATGATAAATATGAAGAAGAGAAAGCAAAGGATGATAAAGATAAAGAAGATAAAGCTAAGGATAATAAAGATAAGAAGATAACGCTTAGGATGATAAATATGAAGAAGAGAAAGCTAAGGATGATAAAGAAAAGGAGATAATGCTTAGGATGATAAAGACAAAGAAGAGAAAGCTAAGGGTGATGAGATAAAGAAGATAAAGCTAAGGATTATAAAGATAAGAAGATAACGCTTAGGATGATAAAGACAAAGAAGAGAAAGCTAAGGGTGATGAGATAAAGAAGATAAAGCTAAGGATTATAAAGATAAGAAGATAACGCTTTGGATGATAAATATGAAGAAGAGAAAGCTAAGGATGATAAAGATAAAGAAGATAAAGCTAAGGATGATGAAGATAAGAAGATAATGCTAAGAATGATAAAGACAAAGGAGAGAAGCTAAGGATGATAAAATTAAATAAGATATCGCTAATGGTGGTAAAGACAAAGAAGAGAAAGCTAAGGATGATAAAAATAAAGATAACGCTAAGGATGATAAAGATTACAAGATAAAGCTAAGGGTGATAAAGATTAAGAAAATGAAGCGAAGGGGGAAAAAGACAAAGATGACAAAAAAAACAAGATATAATAATAAAGATAGAGATCATAAAGATAAAGATGAAATGATTCTACAGATAAAAAAGATATAGGCATCAAAGATCAAGATGATAAAGATAACTAAGATAAAGCTAGGAATGATGAAGATAAAAAAGATCAAGCTAAGGATGATGAAGATAAAAAAGATAAAGCTAAGGATGGTGGATAACAAAGATAAAGCTAAGGATGGTGAAGATAAAAACGATGTAGATAAAGATCAAGAGGCTGAGGAAGATGAAGATGATAAATATAAAATGATCAGGTAAATATCTTAAAGATAAAGATAACAACGATAAAGATGATGAATTCATATAAAGAGATAATTCTGGATAACTTATCCGCCTGCTAAAATGAGTTAGAAAAGATAGGTGTTGTTTCTTTCAACGAAACCCTCATTTTATGCAATCCTTCAACGGATCTGGAGGTTTGCAATGACATCACTATATGGAAAATGTACCTTGGCAGTCCAACGATGTTGATGACCACTGTCCGTTCGCCTGACAGGTGATGGTGTCGTCCCCGCCATGGTTCCTGTAGCCAGCAGAACACGTGAAGGTCACCGTCGTGTTGAATGTGGTGGTCATCTGGACGCTGGGCTCTGTGTCTCTCTCTCTCTCTCTCTCTCTCTCTCTCTCTCTCTCACTGTTTACAACTTTTACTGCTCTTATTCATAGTGTCACCGTGGATCAATTTTACCCATATCACGGTCCCCGACGTAAGTACCGACACTGTTCGGTAAATTCCGGCGGCTGTCATTGTACAGTTTGTTGTCATTTGGTGTTAGAGAATTAGTGGCCCAACTATTTTTCTCTCTTGTACTCATGACACTCTCAAACCATGTAATGACTGGATTATGTTGTCTCTCATATGTTCACTACTATATTCTTCTACTGAAAATATTGTTCTAAAATCTTTTGCCTCGTCAATAATTTAACATATCTTGTCGTGAATCTTTAATGATACCGTTGGATATCTTCTGTTCAGCGCTTTATTTTGAAACTCTCCAGTGTAGATATAGTAGTTAATTTGCTATTTGCGTTTTCCCCGTGTTTAGAAACACGTTGGCTTGCCCCCTCAGTCAGTTGTATTCTACGGCGTTCCTCGACAGGATGTCGCCTCCGACGTCCGCGTGCGCCGTATATTTAGACTTTCTTGATCTCGTATCTTCACCCTCCAGGCTTCGTTAAATCGTTCACGATTGTCTCGCTACTGGAGTGGTCACGGTCGTAAGAGGGTACGGGCTTTTTTCGATCTATATTCTGACTTAGTCTGGTTACACTGAACTAAACGTAGTTACTAGGGTTTGTAATACTCTGTTTTTCTAGTATCCGTGGATAACCAACTTTCCCGTGATTTCTAAACTCTTAGTAACTAGTGTCCATAATACTCAGTTATTCTAGTAATCCATGGATAACCAACTTTCCCGTGATTAACTAACAATTTTGGAACTTTAGTGTTTCTTTGTTCAGTCAAAGTGACAGAAACTGTAGTCGATTTTTGTAGTCGAAGTGACTCATTTTTGGGATAATTTCTTGGTGTATATTTCACCTTTGTTTACTGAGCCGAGTTTATTTACTCATTACAGTGTGGAGTTCTTTGACTCAGGTGTTAACTGGTCGCAACCGACAATTGGCAGTCGACGCTCCCGGTCCATAGCTTGTCACATTGTTGTTTTAGCTACCTTCATTTTTATAGCTGTAATACAGTTGTTTAGCTAAAACGTGGTTGTATATTTGCGCTGATAGAATTAATTTGTGATCTGTGTGAGAGCAGAGTGGATTTATTTGTAATTGTCAACTATAAGTACAATTAGTAGTTATTTAATAGCCCGTGAACCTTTTACCACGTTTTCTTTATCACTTTATTGGAGCACAACTCCGTGGCAATAGCAGATGTCATGTCATGTAGTGATGTTTACCCGGACATTGTACTGATGTTTACCTGTACACAGTACATGTAGTTATGTTTACCTGTATATAACAGCAATGTTCACATATAAACAGTGGTAATGTTCACATGTACACTGTAGTAATGTTCACCTGTACACTGTAGTGATGTTTACCTGCACACTGCAGTGATGTTTACCTGCACACAGTAGTGATGTTAACCTGTACATTGCTGGGATGTTTATTTGTACACTGTAGTAATGTTCACCTGAACACTGTAGTAATGTTTACCTGCACACAGTAGTAATGTTTACCTGTACACTGTAGTGATGTTTACCTGTACACTGTAGTGATGTTTACCTGCACACAGTAGTAATGTTTACCTCTAAACTGTAGTGATGTTTACCTGCACACAGTAGTGATGTTAACCTGTACACTGTAGTGATGTTCACCTGTACACTGTAGTAATGTTTACTTGTGCACTGTAGTGATGTTTACCTGCACACAGTAGTGATGTTAACCTGTACATTGCTGGGATGTTTATTTGTACACTGTAGTTATGTTTACCTGTACATCGTAGTATGTTTACCTGTACACTGTAGTGATGTTTACCTGTACACAGTAATTATGTTTACCTGTACATCGTAGTATGTTTACCTATACACTGTAGTGTCGGAGGTGACCACTGCCCTCTGTCCTGACAAACAGTGACCCCGCTGCCCCCTGTCTTGTTGTGACCCAGCTCGCACGTGTACACACTCAATGCCCCAAAGTAGCTTTCGTTCCATCCTGCCATAACCAATGTAGGTCGCAGCGGGGGGCGGCCGCAATCGGATCCTGAGCACGATACCATAGTTATAGTACATGCCTCCGTTTATATATTATTATGTCACCGACTTAGAAAGAGAAAACTTGACATAGGTATTTTGAAATACCGGAGCCCCTTTTAAAAACTCACCAAAATTGCCAAGACCAAAACTGTTTTCATGGCAAAATCGTGTAACGGCAGTCTAGTTCACGGATATCTTACACAACGTGGGTAGCATCAACAGTTTTACAACGGTATAACCCACCCAGTGGAACACCCATTTCGACATTAAACCATCAGGTTAAATCAGGTTTTACAAAACATCAACATTTTCTTCATAAAAATAATATTTTCTAAATTTAAATTATTGATGAGACTGAAATGTGGAAAGGTTGCGATCCAACACAATTGATAGTCTTTTGGCGTGTGTTTGAGGTGTCATCCAGTGTGTAAGACTACGACCTTACCTGACAAGCACACGTGGCCATCCCCCGACGCAGCAACAACACAGATCTGATCCTTCCTGCAAGGGCGACCCCGACAAGGGCTCGGTGACACCTGGAAGGAGATATTCGTCAAGGATTTGTTTCATGATAAAAAAAAGTATGATCTTATTAGCCTCTTGAATCTAACCCTGTATAAGACCTTTATAGATACCACTCTCCTATATTCTAGTTGGTCCAGTAAGAATATCCATCACAACCACATTAGGTCTACATATTCGTGTCCCTTAATCCAATATTTCTCTGTATAACCCTAATATAGCAGGAATCTGATCATCCATGTATTCTTGTGATGATACCACACGGGTATATTTACAGGTTCTGATACAAGGTTTGATCCGGGTAATCACATGGGTGTCAGATGCAAGATCTCATACGTGTATTCATACAACATATGATACAAGGTCTCATACGGGTATTCATACATCGTCTGATACAAGGTCTCATACGTGTATTCATACAACATATGATACAAGATCTCATACGTGTATTCATACAACATATGCCGGGTATAAGGTCTCATACGGGTATTTATACAGCGTCTGATGCAAGGTCTCATCCGGGTATTTATACATCGTCTGATACAAGGTCTCATACGGGTATTCATACATCGTCTGATACAAGGTCTCATACGTGTATTCATACAACATATGATACAAGATCTCATACGTGTATTCATACAACATATGCCGGGTATAAGGTCTCATACGGGTATTTATACAGCGTCTGATGCAAGGTCTCATACGGGTATTTATACATCGTCTGATACAAGGTCTCATACGGGTATTCATACATCGTCTGATACAAGGTCTCATACGTGTATTTATACAGCGTCTGATAAAGGTCTTATGCGGGTATTATGGAGCGTCTGATGCAGGGTCTGATACGGGTATTTACACAGGGTCTTATAGAGGATCGGGTACAAGTTCTGATACAGATCTATCTCTAGAAGTAGCATACATAAAATATGTTCATAGTATATACTCATATAGTATAACCCCTATAATCTCCCCAGTATATATCTTCTTGTATCGTGGACATTCATAATTTATCGGAATCATTTCTCTTCAAAAGTACAGATTGTCACGAGTTCTAAATGATCTTATAGTCGAAAACTTTATCATCTACACATAGTAAACTCTACATTATGAAAGAGCTAACCTAATCACGCAGCGTTATATTCGCACATTTCAGGAAATGCAGAAATGGTGCGCAATACAGACAAATCTATTAAATAGCATATTCAAACATCCACCTTTTAGATGACTATAATAGACTTAACTACGTGTAACTTATGTCATTCTGAACCGAGGACTGGATTCACCTTTTTACGTCTTGTGACATAACACCTGGGTGACTTTTTTTCTTGATAAACAAATGGTTTAATGAAACCATCATCCTAATAGTATCAACTGGTGAACATATGTTTGGATGTCATAGTAATATCTTTCTGGCTGCCAAGAGATATTTTATCTTTCAAGTATTAAATATAATAAACGATCTTTAGAATCGTATCAATTAAATACAGACAGTATATCATTCACTACAAGGCCTCCGATCCAACATACATTAGATTTATAGTGCATAGTTTACATTAATGGTTTCTTGTTTTCAGCAATTTGCTTTCTGGATATAAATATGAGGCAGTGTTACATATAATATAGTTGGTATTTTTTTGTGAAAGGTGTATACGTTTATTAAATATGCATTACCCTATAACGTGACTGGACATATGCTTTGTCGTAATGACAGAGTAATCTTTACAAACAAGGAAAACATGCATTTCTATTTCAACATGAAAAAATAAGCCTTTAGATTCACAATGGTTGGGAAACGTGGTTATACTCAACCTTATCATAACGACCAGTGTTAACAGCTATTGTAAAATAATGCATCTAAATATCATAAACACCTCTCTATCAATCAATCTTTTTTCAAGCACTTAAGATGTCACAGGTCTAGTACACACCACAGAGGTGTTGCACACAATGTTTGTATTGCAGAAAATATTGCAGACCATTCATACCCGACATTTACAAAACCACTATTGCATAACATTTTTTCACATCAGTTACCCAGTTATACTTTCTATTCGTATTGTATAATAATCATGATACTGTAATTGTTCTCAGGGTAACTCGATGAATTCATTTTGAGGAGATTCAGCTTGTACTTTATAACTTATATCTGTGAATGTATACAGGAAATCTGTCACATTTGCCATAAAACATCGCCCTAAATGTGTCGATTTATACACCAAGAAATCTTTTACAAGTGAAACATGACAGTATCTCGTCACCTTATCTGCTGTGTCCTCCTGGGATAGGCTGTCACCATCAGGGACCCTGGGGGTGATGTGTTCTGGCGCCATGTACAGATGGCACTCGCGGAACTCGGCGTCATATTTTCGGGCCTGGCACCCGCCAGTGACCACACAAAGTCGAGAGCACTGATAAAAATTGTTCACAATCATAGTGGCAAACATCACACTGCCATCGGCTGGGGACCCGAACATCTCCACCCCTAGCCCGACACAGGAAACCACCCGACACAGGATCCACAACGCTCTCATCGAAGTCCCCATCGTTAAGGCGGAGTATTGAGATCGAACGCTGTATGTTCATTATATATGAGATCGGGTTTCTCCGTAGACAAATGCCTGATTACCTTCAAAGAAAGAACCCTTCTTCGCTGATCTAAACCTGTATCCATGCACGGTGCCAAAATTGGCCGTTGAAATGTATTTCCCTTTAAGCTGTTATACATATGTAATACAGGACATAAATATCAAACATGTCACAAACACTTTGTGCATTTTTGTATTTGTGTATCAAGTTATGTTTAGTTTGCCTTAGTTTGTTCGTGAAGACGCCCGAGCCTGTTTTATGTGGTAACATGCTATATTTCACAAGCTACTTTCTTGTAATTCAATAATTATTACTTTACAAAGTGGGAGAGTAGCGGACAAATATAGTAAACGTATAAATGCAAGATAGTTTCACTATAGCGCTATGGCAATACTGTGGTAAGTGTAAGCTTCATTCGAAAAGGTTATCGATTTCATCTCGAGTAGATAATGCTGGAGCAATATCCGAGTCTCTCTTATGAATCTTCGATGTGTTATAGATAATATGTATAATTAAGCAAAAAGTATAATCAGGTAATACATGTAATATAATCAGGTACTAGTGATATGCATATATATTTAAGGAGATTCGTATAATCCGTGAACATTTCAGTGATTGTTTCTATTCCCTGAGTAAATTTGGAATTGCACATGATCCCTGGCTTTGTCAAGGATTGCACACATTTTTTAAGATGCTACTACCTGATTGTACATATTACCTGTTTATACATATTCCCTGCTTATACATATTACCTGATTGTGCATATTCCTTATGTATACACATTCCCTGTTTATACATATTCCCTGTTTATACATATTCCCTGCTTATACATATTACCTGATTGTGCATATTTCTTATGTATACACATTCCCTGTTTATACATATCCCCTGCTTATACATATTACCTGATTGTGCATATTTCTTATGTATACACATTCCCTGTTTATACATATTCCCTGCTTATACATATTACCTAATTGTGCATATTCCTTATGTATACACATTCCCTGTTTATACATATTCCCTGCTTATACATATTACCTGATTGTGCATATTCCTTATGTATACACATTCCCTGTTTATACATATTCCCTGCTTATACATATTACCTAATTGTGCATATTCCTTATGTATACACATTCCCTGTTTATACATATTCCCTGCTTATACATATTGCCTGATTGTACATGTTACGTACCTGCTTATACATATTCCCTGTTCATACATATTCCCTCATTACACATATTACCTTATTATACATTGAACCTGATTATGCTTATTGTTAGTAGATGTATTTGCTCAAAATAAAACCTTTAACCTTTTCGAATAAAGCTTACACTCCACATAGTATTGTTGTCCTGTTACTAATGTGATAACAAGTAATCCTATCCTCAAAGTAGAAGGGAGAATTCCTTAAGTCAGCTGTCAGTCAACTTACTTACATACTTAAATTGGGAATTTAACGTGCGCTTTCCGACATTTGCGTATTTCGCACACGGGCCCGCCAGGCCATTTAGTGATTGGTCGAAAAGGGTATGTCCGACTTTTCGGATTGCCTACTAAATTTTGCAGAACAAATTTGGAATTTTGAAATTTGCCATGCAGAAGGTGTGTGTGTTGTTTGTTGTAGTACTTTAGATGCGGCCGAGTGGTCCGTTTTGATTAGATAGATGCCTAGTGCTTTATAGGTTTGTAAGTCATTAAGGGGGTTTAGTAGCGTTGCTAGTGTCATTTGATTGTTGCAGTTTAGTGTGGATTGGATCATTGTTTTTCTGTGTTGCTGGTAATGTGTGCAATCTAGTATTTTGTGTTGAGGAGTTTCTTTTAAGTTTCAGGGGGGGGGGGGGTATTTACCGGTTTGGTGTTGTTTCATTTGGTGTAGGTGGGAGTTTAACTTAGTGTGGCCTTTTTGTAGTTTGGTTAGTTTTTTGGTTTTATGATGGAATTTTGTTGTTTTTTTAGAGGTTTTTGTAGAAGGTGTTTGAGTTTGCAGTCAGATTTTCTATAGTTATTTTGCCACTTTTGGAAAATTTTCTCCTTTGTGATTCTTTAATTTCGGGTTTTTTATATTGGTAGGTTGATGCTTACTTCTTCTAATTTTAGTGCTGATTTGGCTGCTTTGTCGGCGTGTTCGTTGCCAAACACTCAAACGAGGGCAGGGATCCAAACTGTTGCTATGTCTTTACCCAGTTTACGTAGATTATTGGTGCTTTTTGGTATCTGTAGTATTAGTTTTGGGCGGTTTTTGTGTTTTTGTTTTTCTGGCCTGGAGCCCACTTAATGAGTCTGAAAGGATTAGGTTGGTTTTTTTGGTGTCTTTTTATTTGAGCGCTATTCAGGGCTGTTACTATCCCCATTAATTCGACTGTGAAAATTGGTGGATTATGTATTAGCCTATAGGATTTGTTTCACAGGTGTGTCTATTCAGGTAATGCGTTGAGAGATTGGTATTAACTGAGGGTTTTTGCGAGCTTGGAGTCTATTGGTTTTAAGGATTTGTTGGATTTGTGGGTTTCGTTGGGTTGAAGCCCTGTAATTATATTGTTAGGTGTTCTCGGCGTAGATCCAGAGGGGTTCGCCTGTTTGTGCCTGCAGTGATATGCGCGGTGTGCCTTGCTTAGTGAGTGTAATTATCTTTAGTGCTTGATATTGATAATTGAGTTTATTTTATCGCTTAATGAGGAGTTTAAGGTGTTGTATATTTGACATCCATAGTCCATTTGGATGTGTTTGCGCGCATATTTCAGTGTTTGAATACTATCACTGTAGTTTTTTTGGCATTTAGTGAGAAAACCCATCTATTTGCCATGTTTGAATTTTATTTAATGCATTCTGCAGTAATTTTGGATATTTCCTCTAATAGGTCATTAATCATAATGTTGAAGAGTGTTGGGCATAGAATGCTGTCTTGGAGTGTGCCATTTTTTTAAGGGACACTGGTCCGATAAGCGTTTGGTGAACACCCACAGTAATTTTGCGATTAGTGAGGAAGTTTTGGATATAGTTTATTATTTAGGTTTTTTTTAGCCCGTTATGCCATACCATATCGAAAGCTTTGGAGAAATCTTAGAAATATGCCTTCTGTGTATTGTCGGTTTAGATGGCCCGTTTTGATGTCTTGTTCTAGGCGGGTGAGGATGTCTAAAAGAGATGTTGTTCCAGTATTTATTGTGAATTTAAATGTGTTTATATGAAATCGCGGACCTATTGTTAAGGTCTAAAAGAACTGGAAACACCACTGATCGACGTCAGAATTCTCTTGATTGACTAAAACATATAACGTATCCTTAATTACAGTTTTGGTGGGTTAAAATAGATATGGTAATTCACTAATAGCAATTTGATTGACTTTTTGAAGGAGTACCGTGACACGATGATAGTTAGTTTGTTTTACAGCGTCTGTATTGATGTCTATACAATGGCCATTAAGTAATTGACAGGTAAAGTGAATGTCAGGTTACCGTGACACGATGGAAATTAGGATAATTACATAGTCTGGATGTCTATACAATGGCCATTAAGTAATTTACAACTAAAGGAAACAAAAGATTTGATTTTAAGTAGACACTTCCGATAGCATATGGTTGATGTTAATTAGCTTTGCTAGGTAAGCTATAGTCAGCTTTGCCGTGACATGATGGTAATGAAAGTTGTAAATGTATAAACAGAAGTACATGAAATATGTGGCTGGTACTAAATAGGTTTGTTAAGTGAGCTACGTATGCTTTACCTTTGGAATGAAGGATAATTAATTATTAGTCACCGTATAGAATGAAATAAATGAACTATATTGCAAATATTTCGTTACAATATTATCCCTCTGTAGTCATTACTTCACCTACTCATGTTAATCACTCTCTTGTATGCAATTGTTGTTGTTGTAATTGTTGTTACTGTTGATCCTCAACCCTTCTACATATATATTCTGTACCATGTTCATCAATCAGTCTTGGTTGACAACGGTATAAGTATCTACACCGAAACGTCGCCTTTACAGTAATTAAAGAAGTTGTTATCCATATATTAAGCTATTGTGTCAACTTTGTCATCCGTCAACTTCTGAGTATGCCTAGCAAACACATAATACATGGCAAATATTAAAAAAAAATATACATACAAATTAACATAAAAACGTGAAGAATGTAATCATAAATTGTGTCTCAATACCCTCGGGCGACAAGAAGCTTTTGTCCTCAAAAGGAAATAATGAGGGTTCCAAGTTTTTCACCAAAGAATATTTAAATGTTCATATAATTGTAATAATTCATGGTCTGACATACTGTTGTTTGTTCCCTTGTTTGCCGTTCTAACTACTAAAACAACTGTGATTAAATAGCACGGACATCTGTTATCTGTGTTTGACTGTTTTCCGGATGAAGAATATTTACAAACCATGATGGGATATAAGAATACTAGCTGAAGAAGGATGTTTTAAGATTACACGAATGCTTTAGCTTTTAAGCAGTTCACACGGAAATTGCTTGGGATATTGATAGTTATTATACATTATAAATGTTAAGACCTGGTCATTGCATATGACCTATTGGGAAGATATGACCATCTACATATAAATCATATCTAGTTGTTAGCAAGGTAGCATCCCAATTGGATGGATCTGTATCTGTAACTCAAGTGAAATTAAAGTACACTGTGCTTTCTTAGCTTTAAGGTAAAATGAGGGATGCATAAGATGAAGCATAATGGAAAGATTGTCAATTAGTGTTGATGTTACCGCTGACAGACTAATTGCAGAGTGTGTGGGGGGTGTGGGGGTGTGGGTGTGTGTGTGTGTGTGGGGGGGGGGGGGGGGGGTGGGATTGTGATACTCAAATGATGGTTGTTCCGATTTAACCAGAGAAGGTTGTGAGACTAAACAAAGTGTAGGAGCTATTGCTCTATACTTGAAGTAGAGTCAAACAAATGCTGTTGATAATACATTTGACATGCA